TGCTCTACTGTCCCCGCCTACCCACATACCTATCTGTTCCTGTGTTTCAAACTCTTGTATTTCTGTACTACCCCTCCCCCTAATCAATGATCAATGGTATCAGATGGTATATTGGTTTTTTTAGTTACTGGATGGGCCCCTCCCAGCTTTGTCCAAAATGTCCCCTTTTACTAAAATACAAACTGAAATGTTTAATTTACCTTAGAACTAAAGATTTAATCAAGCCTAGATATCAGGGTGGACATTGATTAAAATAAGTAATAATAAAATAGGACATAATTAATTAAAGTCTATTTGCTTCATTAGACTTTAGGGAGGCACTCTAGGCCACCTACTGGCCATCTTCGAGAGTTACATTGATAATACATTGTTTATAACAGATAGATGTAGGATTGCTTAACCTATTTTAATATATTTATTGCTATAAGGTTTTATTTTATGTAGAAATATATTAAAAGTTGAGTTTTCTTATTAGACCCATAAAGATTATTTTGATACAATTACCCTCTGGTGACACCTACTGGTAGGTTTTTGGTTTAACACTTTAAACAAAAACGTTTTTTCATCCACCAAATGCCGACTAATAAAATTAGCTCACCCCCTTACACCTATCTTACTACTCCTAGACTGGAACCTATTATTGAGCAGCCTTGCCGAAGTCCCATATTAGAGACTGCTTGAGTCAAATAGATTGTACACTCCTTTCAATCCTGAAGCCCCTGAAAACTTCCGAATGATAGACTCAGCATTTGTCAGCCAGGCCCAAGGTGATATTAAAAGGAAATTACAAAAATTAGATGGATTTGTAGGGATGTCCATAATACAGCTAATGGAGATTGCAAATACAGTATATATGAATAGGGAGACGGAGGAAGAACGTAAAATGAGGAAAAAGGCAGATATGCTAGCGGTAGCTATCTTAAGTGTAGAAAGACAGGGAAGGGAAGTAAATAGAGGAGATGAGAATGGGCTGAGCAAGGGACCTCTACGTAGGAATTAATGTGTGTATTGTAGAAAGGAGGGACATTGGAAGAGTGAGTGTCCACAGAGAGAGCAGTATGAAGGTGATAGACAAGGAGAGAGAAGGGTACGAGGAGGTTATAGTGGTAGTTATAGAGTAAGAGGAAGTTTTAGAGGGAATGATGGGAATAGTAGAGGAAGTGTTCAAGGAGACAGATACTATCCACCCACGCAGAGACCTAGAGAAAGAGAGGATAGAGATTTTGTGGGTCTGGCTGACACTATCATGGAAGACTATTGATACCGACTGGGCTCCATCCCACTTGGTCAAGCGGAGCCTATGGTCGATGTAGCAATAGGGGGAAAGAGAAGTTCTTTCATGATCGACACAGGTGCTGAACATTCTGTGGTGACTAAGATGGTGGCTCCGCCTTCGGGGAAGACTATAACTGTGATAGGAGCTACTGGGAGAAGTGCAGCTAGACCGGTTCTTAAGAGTCGCACTTGTATTCTGGGAGGCCATGTGGTGAAGCATTAGTTCCTATATATGCCAGAGTGTCCGATTCAACTTTTAGGACGAGATCTATTATCGAAGCTTTAAGCTCAGATAACCTTTTACCTAATGGATTAACATCTCTGAAGTTTAAGGGATTACCAGGCATAATGGTGATATCGGTGCCAAGGGAAGAAGAATGACGCTTCTATTCCATAGTGACAAGTGTTAACCCTAAGAGTGATGAATCCTTACTTGACATTCCAGGAGTATGGGAAGAAAATAATCCTCCAGGACTTGCTCGTAATATCCCACCAATACATATTGAGTTAAAGCTCGGGGTGTATCCTGTTAGCCTTTGTATGTTGTTCTTTTATCTACCCCAACAGCTGTAAAGGTGGCGGAAGTGACTCCTTGGATTCATCATTCTAAGGTTAAACCAGCGGCAGACTCTTGGCAAGCTACTCCAGATCCTGAGAATCCTTGCAGGACCCGGTTGAAGCGTGCAACTCAGTCGGAGTGACGAGGGGATATCGAGACATTCTAGTTAAAAGTCTACAAAGATCATCAAGTAGGTGTTTTGACGGCCATAATAAAGCCTGACCACCTGCCTACGTGTCATAGCCAGAGTATCTTGAAGGGATCTCTGTGAAGGAAAGTGAGGATCAGAAGAACAACATCCTTGCAGCCCTCACAATCGGGAAGCTGAGAGGCCATCGCACGGTCGAAGAAAAATGAGGATTTCAGGAATAATGTGTTTTATTGTGTCTTAGTATTTTTATGATTTTTCAGGAAGGTAGGAGTACAGACATACCGAATTGCGATAGTTGCATTAAGACTACTAAAACAGGTAACCAAATATCTCAAACTCTCATCTGGCACTCACAGTATGAATGTAAGGGATCTGTATCTAAATGTAGATATTTGGATATTGATTATAGTGTGTGCAAGCCAATATCAGGAGAGTCTAAATGTTTTGATCCCCATTTCCAACCCCGTACAATTTGGTTGGTAATTCGGAATAGTAACTCCCAGGGGACATTAATAAATAGGACTGTGATAAGCACCATACATTCCACGGGTATTCTACTATTTGATGCATGTAAGGCGATTTCGGGTAGTGGAAGACTTTGGAATGTATGTGGTAATCTTAAATGGGAACGAACTTATGGGTTTAATGATAAATACTTATGTCCCAGTAAAAGATCTACTGATCCTGATTGCCCAAATAGAGACTAACTTCTGCCCCTATTGGTCATGTGTAGGTTGGGCAACCTGGGAAAAACAGTGGATCAAGATATGATTATCCAAAGGTTGCCTACCACACCATACTGTAAAACTATGTGTGTAACCCCGTTCACATGACCATTTCCAATCTGCAGTACTTTATTGACAGGTTTGGAGGTCTGTTTGGGTTCCAAATATATGGCACAGGAGTAGATTCAGGAACAATAATATATGTAGGTCTTGAAACTGAGACAGTGGCAACTCAAACTCATCAGGTTTCTCATTCCTTCTATGAGGAGATGAGTATTGAGGATAAAATTCCCCATAATGTTAACAACCTATTTATTGATTTGGCTGAGGGTATTGCAGGTAGTCTTAATGTAACTAATTGCTATGTGTGTGGAGGTACTAATATGGGAGACCAGTGGCCATGGGAGGCAAAGGAAATATGGTACCCTGGCTCTGAGACATATGAACAACAGATACCTTTCCAGTCTGATCATCAAGTAAGTACTAGAAGTAAATTGGAATGGTGGTTAAAAACCTCCATTATAGGTCATGTTTGTATAGCCAGGAAAGGGACAATGTATAACACGTCTGTAGGTGAGCTAACTTGCTTGGGACAAAAAGCCTATAATGTTAATACTAAAAATACTACTTGGTGGTCAGCTTCAAATGTCTCGGAACCTACTAATCCGTTTGCCAATTACACTCATTTAAAGGAGGTATGGTTTGACTTATCGGCTACATCTAGTTGGAAAGCCCCAGCAAATTTATACTGGATTTGTGGTAAGAAAACTTATTCGGAGTTACCACAAGATTGGGAAGGGGCATGTGTATTAGGTATGCCAAAGCCATCCTTCTTCTTGTTGCCAATCGAAACAGGAGAGACCTTGGGAGTTAAGGTTTACGATGTAAATCATAAAAGGGAGAGAGCATCCTTGAATATAGGTAGCTGGGAAGATAATGAGTGGCCCCCTCAACGTATTATTAATTATTATGGACCTGCTACTTGGGCAGAAGATGGCACTTATGGATATAGAACTCCGATTATATATGCTCAACCGCATTATTAGACTACAGGCGGTAGTTGAGATTATTACTAATGAGACAGCTCAAGTGCTTAATCTTCTAGCTAAGCAAAATACCAAGATGTGATCAGCCATATACCAGAATAGGCTAGCCCTTGATTAATTACTAGCAGTAGAAGGAGGTGTATGCGGAAAGTTTAATCTAAGTAACTGTTGTCTGCACATAGATGATGAAGGGCAGGCAGTGGCTGAACTTACAAGCCACATGGTTAAATTTGAGCATGTACCTACTCAGGTCTGGAATGGGTATAACCTAAGTAGTTGGTTTGGAAGTTGGTATGAGCAGCTTGGAGGAATTAAGACATTAGTAGGAGGAGTAGAATTTATTATATTTTTTTTGTGCCTCCTCCTGCCCTGTCTAATTCCATTAGTGGTCAGGTCCCTACGTAGTATTATAGAGAGTACTATAGAGAGAAAGACAGCGGCTCATGTAATGGCTGTCTATAGATATGATCCCCTAGCCCGAAGAGAATATATTCAGGATGAAGAATGTTGAAGGAGTTTTTAAGATGCTTACAAGGTCTACTCTGGTTCAATGGCTACTTGAGAGATGTAGGTAAAACTGTGATTGGTGATGCATCTGGAATAATGTTATATCAGAGGCATCAAAGGGGGGAATGTGATGGGATTCCAGCATGGTCAAAATTTAGTAGGCCAAAATCTCCATGTGGCATATGTGTATGTTGTGTCAGTTGGTTAGCTACATGTAGCTAGGATACTGTCATCAGTGTACTGAGCATGTGCAGGAATGCAGGAACTGAAATTGCACTTATTTCCTTTGTCTTGGATGAGCCATGTGGTTTGACTAGATGTACAAGTCTATATTCTGCTCATTGATTGGTTAAAGGTGTATGTGGGTGTAGCTATTAATGGGAGGAGTTATAGTGCTATATAAGGAATGTACACTATGTGTTGGTCTCTCAGAATGTTGGAACAGGAGTTCATCTGAGACCCGATCGGTAATGTGAATAAAGGCCTGTTACTTCCTGAAGACCTGTGTCCAATATTTCTGTGTTTGGCTTCTGCATGCTTACACTGCAACAATGCTGCAACAAAAGATACGTTTTAACAACTGCAATAGAGATAGATAGAAAGATAGACAGACAGACACACACACTTTGCCCTTATGTATCTTTTTTTATTAAATATTTTTAGGGTCATGTTAGTGTAAGTGTATATGTGTTGTACGCAAATCTGAGACAATTCTAAAATAAACACGCACAATGCCATTAAAAATCAATACATATTTAATTATAAGAAGTTAAATACATTAGTGTTTACAAAAAAAAATTGGCATCTACATGTTCTGTGAACTTATAAATGAGAAGGCTTTATTTCATTGCTCATCACTAGACATTAAATACCAGCATAACACAGAGACACCTAAGCACACAGTACACACTAAGTTTTAAATGGTCGTAAAATATGTGCAAATCAATCCATTTGTATCAGGTACCAACATACCAGGAGGGATATATAACTGAGGTTATAATACAGTACAGATACACACCAAGTGGATACATCTGACTCCTGTGGAAATTAAAGCGCTAATCACTTTATTGCCTGTCCTGATGGCTACTGAGTCAACCTCTGATCAGGGGGCTGAAAGATACATTTGGCTGCCAACTTGAACTACAAGAATAATTTATGTTGCTTTTTTTTAGCATGGTCGGCCAGAAAATAAAGCATGACTGTTGTAGGCATAGGTAGCCAACATACACGTGGCTTGTTTTCTCCTTATATGAGGATTCTTTTAACATATGGAATTAATAGGCAAGAGAGTACACAATCAACTGACATGTGGCCAGAATTGGGACAAAGTGAGCAAACCACAAGGAAATGTCAAACATTTCTTGCAATGCATGAAGCCTCTGTCAGATTCACAGAAATCCCACCTATACTCACTGTCCTTCAACACTGATGGACAAAAAAAGGTTATCATTGACAAACAATTATGACTTGGAGTTCCAAGTGTCTTTTGGTTTCTGTGTGAATGGTCACACCATATTCTGCAGTGATCTGATGACTCTTTAACCAGACAACAAGTGTTGCTCTGACATGTCCTGCTTAAATATATATATACATATATATATATATATATATATATATATATATATATATATATATATATATATATATATATATATATATATATATATATATATATATATCACAATTAAGGATACCTCTTCTAACAAGTTAGATGTTGTATAAGGACACCCAGAACCATTTCTTCGCATTGCAATAAATCTTTGCAATTTTATAACATCGCAGGGTTAGCCTATTCCAAAGTATGATCACTCTGGGTTTTAGTTCACAAACAGCTGGAGAGATTGACTTCATAAATATATTTCAGTTATACAAATTAATTTATATTGTCATTTTTGAATGGCTCATTCTCCCGATATAGTTATTTTAGGCAATTACTTCCACGAAAGATCGACTTAATGGACTGTGTACTATCCAGCAGTACAAAGTGTTCAGAAGACAAGACAGGTCCTAATGATATTAAAATATGGATTATATAATATTCAAGAGCACGTGTAACCCCTGTGAGCTTTTTAAGCTTTCTGAGACTTAAGCACATGATTAACAAAAACATCACATTGTATGCTGGTAACAAAACACTGAATTTGTATCATATTTCTTTTTGGAAGAAGGACAGCTGAGCATAGCATTATTGTACCTTTCAAATAATACTGTGGGAGTTACCCAACCACATATATTTACAATTTTCAAATATATACTCCACCTCAGTAAATGTCCAAAGATACACAGAAGCACTAAACCAAGAGTGCATCAACGGAGATGTATTCATTATCAGCCAGAGAGGAGCCTAGATTAAATGCTACTGTGATCAATTAATTGTCAGCCTCCTCTGCCTGCCCTGTCTGTCAACGGCAATGAAGAGGCAGGAAGAGGGGAGTAACTATTTTCTCCCTTCCAAAACCCCAAATAAGGAGTAAATTAATAATGTAAACAAATAAATAAAATGCACATTTGTAGCGTCTTGTTAAGTGCTCCCAGTAAACTGTATCTGTAGCTGCAATGCTAAAAGAATTTAAATGGTTTACAAATTCCAAAAGTATCCTGGTTGAAACATCTCTCACAAAATAAACAAAAACACCTTTAAATTCTGTTTACATTGTGCTTAGGAAATGTGTGTTGCTATGAAATCTAAAGATTTCAACAGCAAAGTCATTGCTTCAGCACACATCTTCTTCCTGGCCATACCATTACTTAGTTAACCTACCAAACTGATGTTTATGACTATTCATTAAAAGGCCTAACCTGTCTTGAAGAACAGGGCAAATAATTATTTTTTTTTAATCAACTTTTTAAACTTTGTAAAGAAGCTGGATCACCATAGAGGGCCAGGGCATTACTATTTTTGGTCATTAAAAAAAATATTTGCATTATTTTTGTAAAAGAAGAAATTGTGTTTGCAACTCCTTTTAAAGTTTCGGTGTTGTATCATAAATATAAAATGGCTGCCTCCTGACATCAATACAAAAAAGAACAAAAGTAAACTCAATTTATTATAATTTTGTGCATAGTCCTTCCTATTACAAGTCAATTGATGTCTTGAAATATTTTCAATAAAACGGTTTCAATATACTGCAAGCCACCACACAATTTTAAACTTTGCAGCACGTATTCCATAAGCCACATTAGTGGGGGGAGGGGGGGAGTAAATAGTATTTACCTCATGAGCAAAAGGCAAATGTTGCAGATATGACAGGAGTTAAGTAATTAGAATATGTGCTTTGTCGAAAAGAACAGTTATAATGTACCTGCAAGGGCTAACCTGATTTTGCACAAATGACGTAAGACAACAAACTGAGTACCATTGACATAATTTTACAAACACAAGTTACGAACATGCAATCAAATTGTACAATTAAGCTTTTCTTTTTTAATACACATTGTTTTTGTATAAAATATAAAGCTAAGACTAGAAGCACAATATTTCCGTGTGGTTTTACAAATTCAATGGAAAACGGAACGCTTGCACAGGGTTACAGTGATTTGAGACTACAGTGCAGACAAAACATCTCACATTTTCTGTACAGTGAAAGCATGACTACTGCTCTATAAATGGCAGACAGAAAAAAGACTACAGACTATTTACTTATTCTAATATTTCACAAAACTGGGAACGAGCAAGTGCTGTAATAGGTGAGATTCAATAGCATTTTGGAAATATTGATTGGTTATGCATTCATGTAGCCACCCACTTTCAGACTTAAGTGTGGTTTAACATTTTACAGAGCTATGATATCCAGCAGGGAAGATATACGAGATAATTACCTATGGGCACATTATACATGGTTTTTAAACAATCGTGAGGTTTATTCGCTATCACTGAATTTGAGTGTACTGAAAACGGTATTGCAAAGTAAAGGGTTAAAATACTTAAACTACTATCATCTACCTAATTTCCAAATCGGCTATTTGTGCATATATTTTGGAATTTCACTTGTGAGTAAACCCCTAAGACTAGCAATATTTATTTTATATTAGGTTCTACACATATACTAAAGTTCTGATTCTTGAATTTAAGTGATTGCTCCCATTCTGGCTTTATTCATAGCCAAAAGCCTTGAAAAGAAACCACACTCATAATTACATTAGACCAGTCTAACCTTAAGCACACATAGCTTCCCTTGCCAGCAGTTCTTTTTGTTATGTGCAATTACAATATACAGATCATATCTGTAAAATAATGGTTCTGTCAGTAGCCATTTTGTCTTGTAGCAGTTCACATGCCACACATGTTCCTTGTCGTAATAACATTACTCATAAAAGTGCTATACCTTCCACAAAATGGTGTCTTCATAAAAAGTAAAATTGCACTTTCATTACTTATTTCTTACTGTTCTGCTGTTGAAATCTGCAAATGCATTATTCGTGCACGATTTCCCTCTAAAGTTTTATTATATTTTCAAAATAAAAAAGTGGGGAAATTAAGCCTATAATCCAAATTTTGAACAATGTGCAATAATAATTTCTGGACCTGTACTTACCCATGGTGCTTAAAGGTAAAATGGCAGTGTAATAAAAATGCATTTGTATATGCAAATATAGGACCCCAATGCCTAGTATCAGGCCTTGGGTTCATTAACAATTGTTAGCATGGGAAGATAGAGGTATGACTAATTCAAAACTTCAGCACAGAATTTCATATACAGCATTCACTTTCTTCCAGAGCTTCCATTCAAGATTCTGAGTTAAAATAATAATTTCTCAATTTCCTTTGTTATAAATATCAATACAATTCATTTACAGTTGCATACAGCAGATATTAACTCAATAAACCAAACACAGATATATATATATATTGTGTATATACTCTTCTCACGAACCACTGAGATAGATTTAGATGAAAACTGGCAATGTTGGTGTAATAATGCTTCAAACCACATATCTCACGAAATGCACATTGAATCAAAGTAAACAAAATAGAGACAGATTACATACATGGCAATGCAGACTATTTACCAGAGATAAATCCTTAAAGGAGTATACCCCGTATATCTCCATAATAAAATATTTGAGCTGCAGGCACCGGCAGCAAAGGCTTCTGGGTAAAATATTTAGTTAAATGCTTGTGAATTATTTTTTTGATATCAATCTAGAGACTCCCAAACTTCGTACAGTGGGTTGCAAGAAGACATTAAGACTTTCACAGTACTGATTATACTAATATTATATATTACATATACTCTGCTTTTGACATATACATATATCATTCACGTAAACCTTCCACTTCCAAACAGATATTCATTCAGTATAGTCTTATTGCCAGCTTATTATTGTGCCAGTCAAATTTTCTTTCTTGTTATCCCTAGGATATGTCTTAACCCTAGCATAAGTACTATTAATGTGTAAAATACGACAGACACTGAAATTTCAAGTAAAATGAACTGTATTCACATCTATTAAATTGAATACATGTTCTAATATCTATGCTGTTTTATAACTTATAGAAAATAAAAATAATAAGAAAAAATAATAAAATTTTACATTCTTAAATATTGGAAGCCCACTGTATTAATTTGTGAGCTGTGCCTTATTGTAAAAGGCATTGCAAGGAATGTGTCCCATAGATTGTGTTAGCAGTCCTGCTTCTCTTATTACCAATGGTATCAGTCTGTGAGCTTTGGCTTTGAACAGGGTATTGAATATATTGATGAGGCAACACTGGTGAGAGTTTAAGGCTTGCTTGTCACGGTGGTAAACTCCCGGGGAGGTTACTGGATTGTCTTGCCAGCTATCTTGCATCTTCTGGCTCCAGTTTGATAATTTTTCTGTCTGTGTTTAAGGCTGTTTGTGAGTAATCTTTGAGCATTCCAAGACTATCTGCAGGCAACAAGAAATAGGAATACTTAGCAAAAAAAAAATTATAACAAGGGCTAAATTAGTTATTTTAGCAGTCAATGGAGCAATCACAAAGGTGCAATTTACAAAATAACTGGAACATGTTTTTTGCATCAGTAGGTTTCACAGTCTTGGTGTAGTGTTAATTACCCTGTACTACAGAATAAAAAAATTAGCGTGTGATGATTCCAATCCAGTTCTGCGCAGTGAATGTGATAAAATATGCCATTAGAGCTATTGTATATTTATAGAATTGGGTGTATAATTAATGGATAAAATGTTTTTGTGACTATTCAACAATTACGACGCATGAGAACCTTTATGTTTAAGAGTTTCTCCGTCCAACTCTGAATGTGATGAATGGGTCCATAATGTAAATCTTTGTAGGCATCAGTTGTGCTGTCTCACCTGAGGACTGAGAGTTGGCGTCACTGCAGGAATAAAGTCTGCTAAGTTCATTGCACAGTTGCTTTCCTAAGTGTTCTCCATCCGTCATCACCTGCTGTAGCTGTCGGCTCTGATGGTTTGACATTCTGAGATTCAGTGGCCTTTCAACTGGAAAACAAGTAACCAGTCATTATTCAGATTCCATAACCATGTTTCTCAAAAATGTACTGGAGTCAGTTAACTAGCCAAAAAGGGTTTCTCATCCTTTGATTGCTGCAGGAGCAGAGGCCCAATATACTGTTAGGAATACAGTTTTGTAGTGTTCCATTAAGGGAAAATATTCGGAATCCATTCTTACTAGCTGGTGAATTTAATGATCCTTTAAAATAAATATTTTTTCTGCAAGTAACTATCTATTAACCCTTTCAGGACGGAGGCAATTGTCCAAGTTCTGAACCAAAACAAAACCTAGAATTTGAGCTATATGTCTGCTCAACCATAATGTACCTCTTTCACATTAAGTGTACCCACATATTAGATACCTCACAGACTACTTGGTTGGGAGTGGTAGGAGATAATTGTCAGGTCTTTAAGTGGCTATCTACAATCTGCTCATCCAAGTGCACTCACACTTATATACATTATATATATATCATTTTGTTCAGGAGAAATAGGGCTTTAATTTCCTATCAAATATATATATTGGAACACAATATTAGTACATGTTGTAATTTTTCTGCATGGTATTTTAACTATTAATGTCATAATAATGTTAGCATTTACTGCAATAAAATACACATATTTGTACATTGTGATGTTCCACAAGCACAACCATGCCAACTATGTACAGGTTTCATGGGATGGGGTTTTGAAAAGTTACAGGGTCAAATAAAGAGCTTGGCCATTTCAGTTTTTACACACTGAAATTTGCCAGATTGGTTTGCTGGATCTAGGTTGTCATTGAGACAATGTGGCACTCCAAGGTCAAGCAGGTCCCCTGATCGCGACTGTCATGGAGGATATGTATTGCTTCCTGAGTGAGGGCCAAATCGCTATGGCGTGCTATGCCATAATGGTGTTTAAGCCCTCATTTCGTGGGATGGCATAGCAGGCCCTAACATCTTAAAGGGGTTTATAAAGCCCTCTTTTGTCATGGAATTCCATAAAGCTACTGACTGACAGCGTTTCCTGAATCAGATTTAGGGATCAACCGATTACCGGTTTTACCGATATTATCGGCCGATATTCTGTATTTTCGTGAGTATCGGAATCGGCCAATATAGATACCGATATCGCCGATAATACATACCAGGACCACCGGGCCCATTTCCCAGCAGCTTCCTTCAGCTCCCCAGTGTAAATCTCGCAAGTCCCGCGGGCGTCAGAGTGTTGCCACTGGTTACCGCGGCACGCTGGCCGCGAGATTTACACTGGGGAGCTGGAGGAAGCTGATGGAAAGGTAAGTAAGCTTGCTGGCTGTATGCAGTTTGTGTGGTGTGTGTTGACTGAATGCAACCCTAAACCTGTCCTCCTTCTGTTATAATCTGCATGCCACGCTGTATTGGTTTCCAGCATTCAGTGCCCTCCAGCAACCCATGTAGGAGCCCTACTGCTTGCACACAGCAGGGATAAAGGACAAGAAGAAACAGTGTGACACCCGGAGCTGTATGTCCTGGGCATTGGGTGATAGAGGTTCCACAGCCCTGTAGACTGCAGTCTGTGGTAAGACAGAAGCTTGTGGCTTCAGAAGTCCCTCTGCACAATCCATGCCACCAGGGAATGCTATATCCCTCCTCCCTGGCCAGGTAAAAAGCAGGGAGGCGGGACTAAAATTTTTTTTTTAAATTTAATATTAAACCCCCCCCCCCCCCCAATTTTACACAAATGACAAACCTACAGAAACACACACACACACACAAACACTACACAAACATACACACACTCTGCATTCACTATACACACTACACAAACACTCACTGCATTCACTATACACACTACACAAACACACACACTCTGCATTCACTATACACACTACACGCACTATACACACAACACAAACACACTCTGTATTCACTATACACACACACAACACAAACACACTCTGCATTCACTATACACACACACACAACACAAACACACTCTGCATTCACTATACACACACAACACAAACACACTCTGCATTTGCTGTGGGCCCACCACAATGCTCAGTACATGCCACTGGACCACCAGGAAATGCCATAGCACCCCCTCCCTGGCCAGGTAACAAGCAGGGAGGGGGGAATAAAAAAATTAAATAAAACATTATTAAAAATAAAATTTAAATAAAAAATGCCCCCCTTCCTGACCATTTTACACAAATTACATCCCTTCACAAACACACACACACACACACACACACACACTATACAAACACACTGCATTCATTATATACACACATTATACAAACACACACACTGCATTCATTATATACACACTACACAAACACACACTACAGACACTCTGCATTCATTATATACACACACACACACACACACACACTGCATTATATACACACACACTACACAAACACACACTCTGCATTAATTATATACACACACACTACACAAACACTGCATTCATTATATACACGCACTACACAAACACACACACTCTGCATTCATTATATACACACACACTACACAAACACACACACTCTGCATTCATTATATTCACACACACTACACAAACACACTGCATTCACTTTACGCACAGTGCATTCACTATACACACACTGCATTCACTTTATGCACACTACACACTACATTCACTATACACACACTATACACTCACTGCATTCACTTTACGCACAGTGCATTCACTATACACACACTGCATTCACTTTATGCACACTACTTTCACTATACACACACACACTACACAAACACTCACTGCATTCACTATACACACTACACAAACACACCCTGCATTCATTATATACCCACTACACAAACACACACTGCATCCACTACACACAAACACACAGCTCCCCTGTCTAAACACACTGCATCCACTACATGTGGCATGTATATTTTGTGCATTTACGTCAAGTTATCGGCTATTGGCCTGAAAGTTCACAGATTATCGGTATCGGCTCTAATTTACCAATATCGGTCGATCCCTAATCAGAATTAGAGAAAGCGGATGTGGACGGTTACAGAGCCAACTTAGGGTTTAAACCCTATAGATAAGTAAGCACCATAAGAACTTGGCCCTATAAGAACATCATTTTGACAAAGCTGTTATGGTGCATGGAGTGTTCCTATCCTACCACACAACAAGCTTCCATCACACCTCAATGATCTTTAGGATTTTTAAGAGGAGATAAAAATACACATTACGGAATTCAGACACAAATATACTCTCACTACGTGGACAGCTTCCTCTTTGGATTAGAGGCAACGGACTTGGGAATTTGGAGATGGGTATTGTAAACGCATTCTCTGTCTATTACTGACAAGGAGAATGGAGGTTTATGGGTCCCTCTGACCCTATTGCACTAAGGACCAGGAGATACCATCTACTGGGCTATGGGTAATATTACCCATACATCACATCTTTTTGTGCTATTTGTATGCACCATCTACATAAAACAGTAAAGAATGCTAGTCAACAAATACCCTGAGGCCCCTTTCAAGTATTTTCATTTTAACTTTTTTGTTTCAGATATATACAAAGTATTGGGAGTATTTACAAATGCTATACATTTTTCTTTTGTTTTCATTTGATTAAATAAGACTATTTAAGAAGGAATTGGAAGAGCCACTCATTGTATCGTTTTTACCAATTTGTATTTTTTTGCTGTTGTGTTGTATGCTTGTTTTTTTCATTATGCAATCAAAATTTGTCACTGTTGGTAATATATCATTAACAGTTACACGTCAGTGAAACAATAATTATGTGTACTAGAATGTAGATGAATGTAGTTGCTCAGACCAAGGCTTTGATTTTAGAGCTACATCTTATAGAGGCCAGTTAATATTTACCTTACCTTGACCGTCAGAACTATCTGATGCCATGGCTGTAGGGCTACTCTCCTCTGAATTTTGTCTGTAAGGCCCGGTAGAAAAACACCTTTCTGGATATTGTAGCCTCTCATACCCTGAGTTACGGAAAATCTCCATCTGTTTTGCCACCACTTTTTCTATTTGAACCTACAGATATAGTGATAAAAAGTTTACGTTAGTATCATTATCAGATGGCTAAACCCATTTCAACCATAAGTTAAGCAATATGTCCATAACACCATTCAGAGCACAATAGCTCTTCTGATTAACTTTAAGAAAACTGTTGAAATTGTTTGCTATTAAATTAACTGTGCTAGTAAACAAAAAGCACAGCATTTCTATTTTGACTGAAATATAAGCCTGCATAGTCAGGTATAGGTCACTGCTGGAGCTTCTGTCTGAAGAAGAGGCAGGGAGCAGCGCATGGTGACCTAGATCCGTTTTCAAACTGTTTTAAAATAATATAACTACTTACAATGGAAGGGTGCCAGGCTGTGGCAGTTAAGGTACTTGGAGTTTCCCTTTAAAATTTTCATATTTGTCATAATGTGATGTTGAGCCAATATGAACCAACCACACATTTGGTGGAGTGCATGCACTAACCAAACACAATTTAAAAAAAATTCTGCGTAAAATAAAATTAACGATGTGTTGGGAGAAATATAGAATCAAAATAATGAACGTTCCGTCTGATTTTCTTTTTGCACCTTAACCATCCAAAATCATCCAAGAAAATCATTGCGCTCCTAAGACAAATCGAGAATCTACATGCACACATCAAACATCTCTCAGCATGTTAACAGAGCTCATTGCCATGTATTTTTAAACTCTGTTCAGCCAACATGCTAAAGTAGGTTTAATTTGGAAATACAGCAGCACAGTTTTGAAATCTACTAACAATTCTTTAACTCATTATGTGAAAAAACGGACTATTCACTTTTGAGAAAGGCTATTCGCCGAAACGCGTTAAGTGGCAAGCGACCAGTGGACTTTCCTTGTTTTAAATTTTTTATGCTTAATCAATAAATTGTGTTTTTGCCACCCTGATCCTGCATCCTGGATCTTTATGGTGGATTATTGATAACACAGCCTGGAGATATCCTGATTGCTACAAGGATCCACTGTACCTGTTATATCCTTCGTTTGAAGCCTTTAGTCTGAGCCAGCGTCTATAAGTGTCAGTAATATGAGTTTTTTTTCTGTAAAGTGTAACACTATTAACCTATGGTCTCTTCTTTTATTTAGGTTTTAGGATTGTATTTATCCATACTTGTGGTAACTTTGAACATTTATTGAGTGCTCTCACTATTCCATTTTTCACATACTTTATTTATGTGTGTAGAGTTATCCACATAGATGATTATAGCACCATTTTTTTACCTTTTCAAACTACTATTTATTATATATATATATATATATATATATATATAAATATAACTCATTAGTAAATTACTACTAGTATTAAATATAAATGTTTTTTTAATTATTTGTTGCCATGCATTTTTAGTACATGCCTTCCATTGTATTTTATTGTTCAAGGCAAATATCAATATATACATGCTTTATTTTGTGTATAGAGACATATTCTCAATAAGTAGACTAGTCACTCCAACCTAATTGCAGTCACAGAATGAAGGAGTGCTTGTGAAACTCACTATTAGGTCATAAGAACTGGTTAGTCTTGTAAAAATTACAATACATCAATACATTGTTTGACTGTACATTGTGCTTGCCAAAAAGCTAGCGATGGCATTAACCCCCAACCCCCTATTTAAACCCCAACCCCCCCATGAATACTTAAAGGTATTGTGCTGTCCAAATACAAATAAAAATCATTGCTTAGTAGATATACCCAACGAAAACATGTATGCATTTGCTTATTTTGATTATGTATTTTTTATTGCAGTTATATCTAAAACAGCTTGCAAAAGCTACAGAACTCTTGTCTGCTGCCTTTGCAAGCCCCCAACCCCACCCAGACTTTCTGTGGCTGACCAATCACAGACTTCCCAATGCAACTCAGAGAGAAATCTTTGCAAGGAAGGTGTTCTAGGCAGTTGCCTTCCTCTTGAGTTTAGCTCCACTGAGCTAACCAAACCAGGAAGTAACAGGGCCTGTTGTCTGATTGATAGTCAATGAGGTGTAACAAGGTTAATTTATAAAAGTGAAAACATGAAAAAAAAGGACACACATAAAGCTGAAGAGGAGATCACAGAACACATAAAAAGCAACCACTGTTCAATATCATCTTTGCTAATATTCATATCAATACCATCTTTGCTGGTATATATGAAATTACATCTTTTCTTTTCTGCCTCTTTAAGTAATATGAAACCACATTCAAGACATGATTACTAGAGCAGCATACTTCATAGCTAGAGAGGCAAATAAATATACCCAGTGTCAGTGATCATTAGAGGTAGAGGATGGAAAAAGATGTGGCTTGGGCTGGGGCACATTCACGTGGATAGAATTTGCAACAAAAATTGGCAGAAAAGATTTTCGAGAGAATGTGCTAAAAAGATTGGCGCCATAGTGTACCAGAGATGTATTAAACATTAAAGGATTGTTATGTATCAAATTGTTTTTTTTTTTTTTGGCTGATCTGCTATAGGACCCATTGGACTTTCCTCACCACTGGCTAGAATTATTTGTATTTGTGGTCCCACTGAGCACTAAGATTGCTTGATCTCAGCTGTGAAATGAGTCCGTCATTGTATACAAAAGTCTTCACATGAGCTTTGCTTGATTTCTTTTCACCAGCTTTGTCCTGATTTCTTGATATGGTCTTTCCTGCCTTCCATGGAACTGTCCTAACTACTTTACACAATTGGCTCTTCTAAGTCCCTCTTAGTTGACCATCAATAGGTTCCACGTTCTGATTGGTTTATGTCTGTACTCCACATATAAATGAATATCATATTTCCATTATTTTGGTATATAAAAATCAACAAATTAATTAACAATGTCCTTATTTGCCACCGATCCATTAGTTTAGTCCAAGTTTTCATTAATGGTGGGGGAAAAAACCCACTGCAATACACTATATAAAAGGTGATTACTTATTTTTGGGAGCAAGTGATGATGCTGAGATCCACAAAATATAATCATCACCAGTAAAAATGGCCATTAGTTTATCCATACATATGTACCATCACATTACTATGTGCAACAACATGTTTATAAATATTTTGTATAGTACTATAACTATTGTTTTGTAATTTTCTGTTTTTTTCAAGTTATGTAAAATTATATATTTTATTCTGGTGCAAACAGTTAAAATATAAAAATATCACTGGCCTCTAGGACTCTGAAATGGTTTAAGACAGCTTGCCTAAGGGTAAATATTAAAAGGGGCTCATCTCCACCTTGTACCAACACTATGCACCACGAATAGAACTCTCCTCTTCCCCATTTCTCCAGTGGGAGTGAGCTATTGACAGATAGCTAGCTGGTGACAAATGGGAGGGCATGTGGGAAGTTGAAGTTGAAGTTTACTTCTTTTACTTTCTTTTCCTCAGTCCTGGTTTATTCTACACGTAAAATGGGGCTATGTATATATATATATATATATATATGTGTGTGTAAATAACATAAAATGTGTATCTTGTAATACCTTTTTCATTGGACTAACAGAATTATTTAATGACAAGCTTTCAGGAGAACCTCCCTTTCTCAAGTCTGAAGCATTTCTAAGCAGGACGACACATAGAATTCAAAGTTGAGTTGTCATACAGGGGTTAAAGCGACATGAGTGTAGATAAGACACAGGTTTGATAGAACTTGGACACCATTCTTGCAAAGGGTCGTAAATATCTTGAAGATCACAGAGTGAGGGGGGAGAGAGAGAAAAAAAAATACAAGTGAACAGTACAGAAGGTGGTGCTAGAATATATATATATATATATAAAATTGTGTTTAAATCCCCTTCAACTGGCTTTAAGTTAGCAGAAACACTGCATGTAAAGCCAACACTATTGCTTTATATGGCACTGTTAAAAGATCTCAGCAAGAGACTAGATGAAAGACACAATGTCATGTTGCATGCATCGTTAATGATGGTGTCCGTGGGATGAGTGTGCGTGCTGTGAGGGATTGAAGTGTGAAATATGGCTGGATGTGAGATGCCTGGTAATGATTTAAAGTGCAAAACAGAGGAGTGGGGGATGTTGTGCCAGAACATTCAGCCTAATTAAAGGAACACTTTGGGCACCATAACAACTTCACCCTAATTAAGTTGTTATGATGCCAGGAGGTCCCTGCTGCAGGCTGTTTAGCACTGCCTTCTTCTGCTTCTCTCTAACTGTTAAAACAGGAAGTCTTGAATAACCTCAGACAAGAGCACAACTGATTTCCTGAGAGTGTCAACTGATGCTCTCAACCAATCAGCGGGGACCCTGTCCAAGGCTTTCTGTATCAAGAATTGGAGAGAAGCAAAAAGGCAGGGGCAGAGCTAGACGGCACTAGATTCAAGACTTTGGGGTTAAACCATGTGTAAATTATTTAACCTCTAAAAGTAAGATGGTGCAAGGAAACTCAAGGCACCATAACAAATTCATGAAGGAACCTCTTTATGACCTGAAACAAACTACAGCCATATGGCATTAATTGAAAAACTAATCAAAAGAAAACAAATACAAATTATTAGTGACATTTTTAATTAAGGCTGATGTGCATTGTTTTGTGGAAAACTAGTGGCAACTACCTAAAACTGTATATGGTCACAGCCTGTCATGGACCAGTGCCAGCCAAATGTAATGATTTTTATTTTTCACAAGACTTGTGAATTAAGCTCCTTCACCTTGCTCTTCTACTGGACTGCTGAAGCCAAGTAAAAGCGGGAACATATTTTAAACAAGAACTGTGAAAGTTTATTACAAAGTGTGATCCATGGGACATCTTAGGGCTAAAGATAAGCACAGAGCAAAACATCTAAGAGATTCAAAATACACACACACACACACACACACACACGATCACAAAAAAATGTCTTTAAATAAGTTCTGATCTTATGCTTGTTAAAACTAATCTTTATGGTAATTTCTGTTTTAAAGCAGAAAGAAATACAAGAAAAGTAGAGAAAAGCAATGTATACATTTATTATTATCTCATTGTAATGTATCAGAACTAAACACAAGCCAATCTTGTCTCACCGAATTCAGATGGAAAAAACTTAATTGGTCTTACCTGTAAATTATGAGCTGACCCTTCATCACCTTTAGCTTTGGCCATTGCAAGTTGTTCCTTTAGTGATTCCACTTGCTGGTGAATAGCTACTAGAGTCTCCTGGTAATCCGAGAAACTATCCTGTGGCAAACAGATTATTACGTTAGCCAAACATAGCATCATCCTTATGGCTTGTTAACAATTCACAGTAATTCAGCCAAATATTAATATGTTTCAGCCTACAGATTTTTTTTGACATATTACATCTATCTGCCAGAATGAATTGCTCAAAAATCACAGAATGACTCGTCCTCTTGGATTTTCCTTGTCAGGACAGAGAAAATGAAGATGTTGGCACCAACAAGCTGGTATAAAGGCTGTTACAATGCTCACGTAGTTATAGATATACAGGTAGGACCCCAGACTAGGTTTCCATATTCCATGGTTTACACATGTCTAGCTAGTTCTATGTTCCTAAAATTTGCACACAAAAAACCTGCCAGCATGTCATGACTGACCAATTTTGTAGGCCTCCATTAAGACAAAATGAGAGTAAGGACTAGGATTAACCACATGTTGCCCACCAACTGTTACTGGAGTCATGAATGAAGGGTGATGAGAACTAAATACCCCCAACAGTTGGGGGACAGAAAGTTGTCCAAGCCTTCTTTAGAAGGACCACAGACAGAAGAGAAATCCATGACAGCTAGTTGTGAGACAATAATGGTCTCACAAAACTGCAAGAGAAACCAAGCTGAAACTGAGGAATTCTGATTTATGTCCCCATCTCATTTAGGGACAAAGAGTTTCAGACAATGTATTTGAAGAGGCTAGTAAAGTATGGGGGCAGTTATTTATGGTTCATTGGGAGATGCTTTAGCATAAAAAACTGTATCAATCTGAAGCATTATCATGAATAGACTTTTTTTAAGTGGGAAAACACATCACTTGCCAATAAGGCCATTCCTTTAAAAATAATCACACAGCTCAATCTGTCTACTCTTGATACAAGCCAATATACAAAAACAGAGACAGATTTATATGGCAAAATATGGATTTCATAGCACTAAAGATAAATATATAACAAATTATTTTTTTTAAAGTATTTAAATAAAACTAGATCAAGGGTAACATTTAAAGTTCAGTTCTCACAGTTAGGCATAATACACAAGACAAAACTCTGATTATAATTTAAAAGGGACATTATATGTAATAAAGTGGCCTGGGCACCATATTCCTGTCATTTTAGCCCTGCATTGTAAAATATGAGAACAGCAATGTTTGCATTGGAAGCTTTTTAGTGTTTGTCACTGACACTGACATGGGCCCCTAAACTGTTAAAAGGGCACTATAGCATAACTATTTATTCCTAACTGAGGAAGTGAAAACTATTTACGAAATGCGTAGGAGCTATGTTTTTGGTCCTTGTGAGATCCTCTCCACCCACATCCCGACCTGGTAGAAGACCTTGTCACTCCTTATTCTGAACTATCACACTCGCCATTAGTGCGTGAGTTTTGTACCAAGTAGGGATAGAGTAACTCTATATTTGTTTTTAGCTATTGGTAATTTAGAGCACACATACTGTTGCATTTGGTCTATATGTACTTGACCGTGAGATTTTATACTATTTTGTAACGGTTTTGTGTGTTCTTTTTTTTTTTTTTTTGCTTCATTTGGATGCTTTGTACCTACAATGTCTCATTAAGTATGAACCTTCATTTTACAATAAAGCCTGTCGACAGCGTTTCATAATATATCTATTTTGTTAACACTATAGTGTTTCTTTAAGCTTTAAAAATAATATGCGCGCAATAATTTTAACAAGTCCCCCACATTCCACTGCTTGACAAATCCCACTTAAACTTGTCATGAATACGGGTGAGTGGCTGTAAAGTAATTCAAAGTTAGGGTCCATAAATTCTGTTTGAGCAGGTTTTATCATCTACAATAGTGTAGATACATTTTTCTCTAAATATAGTTTGCAGATAATTCAGCAATGACGTGCAACTTTTAGAGAAATAGAAATAAACATACTGTTTGATCACGATTATAGAACCCTATGAAGACAGGTGTTTTTAGTTAAACTGTAAAATGTATACTTTAAAGAAAAGATTTAGAATGCTCACTCATTTTACCAATGTTACCTCTTTCCCTTTTATAATGCAATTTCTTTTAACAAGGGAAGAAACTAAATTCTCAGTTGGAGGTTAGAACAGTCAGTGTGTATCAAACAGGCATCCTACCGCCTACCTCCCATAATGGAGTAAGAATCAATAAGACTAATAAATAAAAGGCTGGATTATTTTCAGTATAGGGGATGAGATTGTAGGGAGACAGACACATTGCATTACTTACTTACTATAAGAACCGGTAATGCCTTTAAAATACAGCTACCTAGTTTTAGCCATGCAATTGTACTTATATTGTATGTGGACATTGGAGTTACAGTCTAGGAATCTGCATTCTCAAAAATACAAGCAGATGAATTATAAATAACTAATGAAGATTACCATCCACTGTATTTGATTTAAAAAATCCCTTTCTCGGAAAATACTTCTAGTAGGCTGTATTCCACAACCAGGAATACAGTGTAAATGTCTTATCTATACCTCACCTTCAAAATATGAAGGAATAAATGAAAATAAAAATACCTTTTAAATTAAATGCCTGGTTACCATTATGAATTAAAGAGAAATTTGAAATAATTTAAATAAAATAAGCAAAAATAGATTTTTGTTAAATTTACTTATTTCTTTATATTCTTACTTAAAAGGCTGGGGAAGATATGCATGTCTACTGCTGGAGAAAATTCCAAGCCTACATACGTTTGGAATTTGTCTGATAGATGCCCAAGCGTCTATATGCACGCCCAAGGCATCATGGGATGGCAGGGATGGTGCAATACAGAAGTGCAGTAAACGCAAGTAAGGTTCCCCCCCCTCCACCTCCAACCCCCCATTTACCTTCACTGCATTATTTACCCCAGTAAACAATGGGGAAGAAATGCAGATAAATAATAAATAAAAAATTCCCAGAATGTTTGATTTTAGAGTAGACAACCTTTGGCACTCCAGATTTTGTGGACTACATCTCCCCTGATGCTTTGCCAGCAATATGGCTTTTAGAGTATTATAGGAGCTGTAGTCCACAACTTCTGGAATGCTGAAGTTTGCCTACCGCTGTTTTACAGTTATCTTTTAACTGTGGCTATAGAAGATTAAAAATGACAATCTGATGTGAGTGGGGCAGCATCATTAATACACACCATTAAAACAAATATACAAAGTAACTGCGTACTTATGGAAAATGAAACTAATTGATAGCTGAAAAAAATGACGTACACAAATTTCATTGCATAAAAGAGACAAATTACCTCAGTTTTGATTCTCTTGGGTGACAGCTCATCTCTGTCTTCACATTTTGACCTAAAATGTAAATAGTGGATTGTAAATAGTGATCTGCCTGTTGTTTTTCTAACAGGGTGAATAAACAGCAAATATCATCCTATCCTACATTAATGTAGTACTAATAATACATATCTCCAAACACAAACCTTTTCAACATATACAGTTATTATTCTTTGTTTATTAACAGAAAAAATTATAAAGTGAGAAGCCATCTTGATTTTCTAGCAGACAATATCCCATCAGTGCTTTTATCATAAAAACACACTTACGCATTTGAGTGATGAAATGACATAATGTCTCAGTTTGAACATCATATTAGAATAGATAACTTTTTCAGTATATACATTTAGAAAGAAGCAAAGCTCCTGGTTTAGTGGGAGACAGATATACCGTATTTTTCCATGTATAAGATGCCCCCATGTTTAAGACGACCCCTATTTTTTTAGTCCAAAATTAAAACATACATATTTTAAACATCTATAACACTGAAGTCCTCACTGGTCCCTGACCCCCCTCACACTCTGGTAGGCAGCTCCCCGAGGTCTTGACGTTGTCCACAATTGATCAAATTCACGGAGAAGCGCCTCCTCTGCTTCAAGTATGTCAGCAGGTCACAGAGGTGTACAACACAGCCTATGCCCACAGGAACCTGACAGTAGTGAACCCAACAGTCAGCTGAGTGTTCTGGAATTGAGTAGCCAAGTTTTGTGCCAAAATAGCGCTGAGGAAGTACCGTAAGATTTTGGCTTAATAACTAGATTTTTGAAGGAGCTCCAGCCACAAGCGACTAGCTTAGTTGGCTGTCAGGCCCCGTGCACAAGTGTTGTTGTTTTTTTATATATAAAGAACAGTCCAAAAAGAGTCCAGTAAAACATTTGGATGAGAAAACAATCACAGTTCTATCTGAGGTAAAGATGTCTGTGGAGTAGTGGGATTAAGGGGCTCGTGGGATCCGTATTAAAGAGAAAAGAAAATCTAATAGTGCAGAGAAAAGTCAGTTTTTACCTTGCTGGCTAGTAACACCTCTAGTGGTAGTCACTTCAAGAGGGCTACTAAAGTTGCTTCTTTGCCCAGTGTTGCACTGTGTGCAGCACCTATGATCAGCGTCTCCACGCTCTGCATGGAAAGGCCAAACACTCTGCATACAGATGCACTGATTCAATGCATTTCTAAGAGTTGATGCTGATTGGAGCAGTGCAACATTTTGTCACATATGCTCAATAGCCTCTCAAAGATTTCCTACAGAAAAGCACTGGAGGCATGGAGGTGGGGCCGGCAGTGTCAAAACCAGTACAGAAATGGAGAAAATGTAAATTAAATACATTTTAACTCTATTCAGAGGGGGCTATTCACCTAAACATATAGTCCATCACTATAGTGTTAGTAATACATGTTTTGTATTCCTAACACTATAGTGTTTATTTAATTATTTAGTGCCAATTAAAATCCTAAACATTACATGGCTAAATAATTAATAACACATATAAACAGCTCATTTTTTTCATCACATCCAAATCTAGAATTCGTTATTTTAGATTATACATTCTCCAATGCTTTTCCAAGATCTTACTTGCTGGTTCTGTATGTGTACTTGTAGGTTACTTCCCGAGAAATCTGGCGTGCAAGAGTAAAAAGCTCGTCCCTCCTTGTAAGCAGAGCAATGTCCTTCATGCAAAGTTGAGCAGCTGCTTCGTTCACGGTTAGCTAGGAAACACACAAACAGGCTGTTTAGTCCAACTGAACAAATTCTCCAAGGATAGTGGACATTCTAAACACCGTACAATCAATAAAGGACAGAAAAGAAGAATAGGGAAGGAATACTGAAACACACACACACACCCCTTTAGATAACGTTATCAAAGCTCCAGCAAAATAAACTAAATATTTTAGAAAAAAGTAGTTGTTCCTTCTCTAACATGTTTCCAGAGAGCATTATGAAAGCACAGGATTCAGGGCTGAATTAAAGGGACACTCGGGGCACCAATACAACTGCACTTGATAGATGTTGTTTTAATATGCTGTATGTTTTTGCATGCTAAACCCATTATAGTTTTTGAACAAAGTTTGTTATTTACAGAATGCTGCACCATAAGACTGCCTCTTTAGCCACACCCCATCACTCCAGAAAAATACTTCCTCATCAAATATATGCACACAGCTCAGCCACTGACATTACTGAAAGATCTGAGCAACAAAACAACCAGCATTAGAAGAAGAGGACACTCGGGAAAGCATATTGTAAGGATATCATTGTACAGGACTACAGAATTTGCTGGCGCTATATAAATAATAAATTAATAATAATATCACTACCTGTTTATAGTTTCTCTAACTTAAAGCAGCTTACTCAGTGCTTTTGGGGCTGAGACTGGATACAGAGTTTTTCTTCTACTTTGGCAGTAGCAGGTGCGTTGGGCTTGAATGCACCTGAATTTCACTCTTTTCAATGAGCAGCTCATTACGAAACATTGAAATACCACAATTGCAGTTGTATGACCATTTGTGGCTTCAGCACAGAGGCTTGTGGATGAGAAAGTCTATGCCGGAGAAGGTGAGGGGTGCAAAGGTTGCAGACAAGTCTGCAGTTCTTGCACAATGTTTTTTTCTCACACTCCCAAAGAAAACATGCAGAAAAACTGCATGCATGTTTTCTTTGGGGATATATTTACTAAATTAAAAATGGAGAAAAAAATAATTAAATTGATTGTTCCTATAAATAGGAAAACAGACCAGAGTATGTTCAGCACAGGCATGACAATGTGTGCTACCAGTGCTTTAGAAGCATATGGCTTTCATTCACTTGAAAATCAATGGAGGTTGTAGTAGGCATGAGAAATGGTGCATTAACAAAAGGAAAGATGTCAGAGAGGGGCAAGCAGAAAATAATGTGGGAAAACACTTTCTGTCTCCTTGTGTTTCCACTTAATAGCATGCAAACCAGTCTTAAATGCGATTAGTTTTCTTTTTCCAAAGTGATATCTATGACTGACAGTCATTGTTTGTTACATGAAATACAGTGTCATCCCTGGTTTCTGGCCAGGTTAACCTTGACGTTAACCAGCTACTACAGTGAGGGCATGAACGTGCTATGCCGTGTAACCAAGAGATATGTGTATGTGGCTTTCAAACAGTGTTATAATAACTTTCCGACCTCTTAACATGTGATATAATGTGTTTCTGACATTTAAAAGGTACGGTAATAACTTTATGTTCTTTAACAATATGATGTAACATATATGAGCCATTTAAACAATGATGTACACATGTAATTAGTTCATATCAAAGCATTTGCAGCTGTGATTCATGCTTACTTCATGGAGTGTTAGGTGTTTCCCATCTTTTCTTTTAGAGTCAAATCTGCCATAGATGGCACTATATTTGCGAATCTCCTCTTCTTTACGAGGGTCTTCATCACTCATCTCAAAGATGTGCCCGATCATCTTTCCCATCTTTTTGTTGGTCTTTAGTAACTCCTTCACTTCATTCAAATCACTCTTCGGCAAGGAAGGGATCATCCGCTCAACGCACTCGGCCACGGAAACAGCAGCCGCCGCATCCAGCGTTTCTGTGGTGTCTCTAGGGGACGCCGGAGAGCCAAGGTCTGCTGGTGACAGGCTGTGCTCACTCTCCGTGGTGTGGTGACTTTGCCAGTGCCTTCCTTCACTGCTGCTTTGCAAAGGAGAATTCCCATCAGATTTCCCGGGGCCAACACTTTGGACACACGTTGTGGCTGCACATTTTGGGATCTTCACATGTGGTTCCTTTGTATTGCTGTTCCTTTCATAACTGCTGGAGTTCATTCCCAACAGAGAAGAAGGAGAAGATTCTGGGAGTTTATAGATTGGAATACTACTGACAGGTAGTGATGTTAGGGGCTGATTAAATAGACTCGGGTTGGTAACCCAATCCCTCAATGCCTTTTGGAGTCTTCTAACATGTAGGGGTTTACTGGCCATTCCAACTAATGCCATTATTTCGAGAAACTCTTCTTCCCCTGCTTCACAGAGTTGTTGAACATCATCCCCTCCCTGCTGGATAAAGGCATCAAAGTAAGATAGGAGGTTAGCACGTTGCAATATACGATAAAGCTGAAGTTCACCCAGGGTTCTCGGTAAGGAGGATGCCATAGCTGACCAACAGGTGAACCTGGAATACAAAATCCAAATAATTATGCTTATTAGTGTTTCACTAGATACTAAAGATGAAAAAGGGATCATGTACAACTAAAATTATTGCATAAGCAAATTAACGAATCACTGCAGCTTTCTTTTAAGCAGGATTAAAATTAATTTATGCTGATTTATACATTGAACAGATGCACAAAAAAAAGCATAAAAACTAAATATATATACATTGAAACACCTTATTTTTCCCCCTTCCCCTTTTTATTTTACTCATATTTACACTGTTCCTTATTGTTATATTTCTGTTTAATATTGTTTGAAATAGGTTTTTCAAAAAACGCATTCAGTAAAAATAATGTGAAAATCTGAAAAGCTATTTTGTTAGAAATGCCACCGTATTACATATATATTTTACTTTGCATGATTAGAACGAATCCCTATTTTATATAAGAAAGCTATTTTTTTTTTGTCATGTAAATATTGTTACGTAGGTTCTCAAAACCTCATATTTTTGTAATACAAGTTATACTGTGTCCGGAAAATGGTATCCCAACTAGCTGTTGCTCTATAAAATAGTGTTCAAAATTCAGCAGTAGGTTCTAACCAAAGTTGAGTAGGCTATTCACTATACCGTGACTTGTGGAAAATGGACAATGGATTGCATATTTTAGATCAAAATAGCTGAGCTGGAAAAAAGAGGAGATATGGAATTTTTTCACTTTGACTTTTTTCTGGGTGAGAATTGTCGAGAATTCAAAGTGAATTTCAAACCCGGAAACATGTTGAAATCTCCAGTTCTGCTCATGTGGCCTGAAATGTGAAATTTACTTTGATTTTCCAACAATTCTCACTTTAGAGAATACCCCTAAAGTGGGAATTTAGTACGTGCATTCCAAAGACTTTCCATGAAATCCTTTTTACTGTTAACACAACACACGTAAAAGTCAGTGCTTTAAACTGTGTGAAATTGTACAGAAATAAATTAAATACAGTGATACCTTGATTGCCACTTCATAAATAGAGATACATATCAGACATACAAGTCCAGCTGATATCAGACATATCAGTCCAGCTGGGCGCACAACCTTATTGCAAGGATTATGGGAACGATCTGCTGTCAGCCATAACATGAGCAATTCTTGGCAGCATTTGATGAACATATGAAAACACTCCTTGTTGGTTGACCCCTTCTTCAAGGTCAAGCTTTGAATCTTTACATACACAGTGTGTGAAAACCAAGAGAACATTGATAAAGCAGAATATGCTACCACCTACTCTCTCTTTCATTTAAAGAGACAGTCATACGCATACTATGTGGATGACAGTCTGTTTCTAGTAGGTATGGCCTTCGTCTACAAATTGTATTGGCTAAAAGTCATACTTACCTGAAGGCTTTATGTACAAGTTCCAAGATGTCTGCCATAAATTGGTGTTAGTAGCTGCGTTGCACATATGGTAGAAAGATAGACAGATCGATTCACACACACACACACACACACACACAAAATGGGGACAGTGTCTGACTGCCTTGCTGAGAGTCATTTTAGGTTAAAAGTGAATAACAATTGTGTTGGTGCCTTTTTGACACAAATACAAATCAACGCTTCATATACTTAGGAATAAAAAATGCCATTTCATAAAAAGCAGCAAATGTAGTTTCTTAAAATAACTACTCCTGCATTAAAATACAATAAAACAGTTGGCATAAGCTAAACAAGAGCATCTGCAAAGAAATCATTAATATAACATAATGAGGGGATCGACTAAATGACCACGTGGGAAGACAAAAAATGTGCATATGTGATTAGAACTAATTTTTTTTCATAGTGTAGCTGAACTTAAATTTTTTTTCTACTGTATATTGTGAATAATGTATTAATGATATCCTCACAGTGAAGATTCTCTCCTGGGGGTTATGTTCAACAGTAATTCCTTCTCTCAAGTGTAACAAGTCGAAATCTATTTACTTATCGTGTTAATCAGTGAACAGTGACTTCGGGCACTATGTGTTTTAGTGCAAAAAATGACAATCATGGAATAATTACCAGGTTTATTTTTCAAATTAGTAGGCAATTCTGTCATTTATGCATATACTTAATAGGCAATGCAATGGATTTATCAATCTTTCCGTCACTTTTTTCATCCAGAAAAGTGGTCTATTAACATACCTCCCAAGTGTCCCTATTTAGGGCTCAAATCCCTCTTTTCTATCCCAGTGTCTCTCGTTTCTATGAGTTCCATGTTGTTGGTGTGTCTGAGTATATAAAACATAGATCCCAACAATACAATTCCCAATAATGTGTATTTAAGCTACAATAAATGTGTTTAGAAATCAATCTGTGTAAATAACATACATTGTTCTTTTTCTAAATTATATTTTATTTGCATAATTAGTTTCTAGTAAGTTACTTAAATTTTTTAAGAATAGCCCTGCCTCCGGCCATACTCCCACTTGGACCCCTAAAATTAAAGTGCCCCACTTATTCCGTTTGAAATGTAGGGCGATATGTGTTTCACTCTTTTTCTTTTCTGACACTCTACACTTGGCAGATTATTCTAATATCAATATTTCTTGTGGGATTTAGAAAAGGAGAACTGTTTAGAAGAATTTAATAAATACATACAGATTAAAGACCAAAAATAAAAGACACTTTGGTAAATCTCACTACTCCCAACAAAATGTCTTTGTTTGAAAAAACCCTAACTTGGACAAATATGATTCTGTTGAAACAAAAGGGACACGGATTGGTGAACCTTACTGAGAGGTCAACTAGATGCATGGCTATATATAAATATATTTTTAAAGAGTTTTATTTCAGCTCATATTAAAACAACACTGTGGCAGGTTATAATGAATGAAAGGTGTGTAATGAAGCTCAGAGTAGTATTTCACTGACTGGTTTTGAAGTCAAATAACTGGTTGTCTTCTCATCGATCACCTCACTAGAAGAATCCCTTGACTTAATTTGCATGATAATTTTCCATCATTTATTTTGACATCTCTACAATATGTACTGAAAAGAACTAAGGTGCACACAAAGATGGCCCATGTACAAATGAATAAAGAATTTATCTGCAGAGATAAAAAAAAAAAGTCCACAATTTTATAACTTTAATGCCGCCACTACAGTCTACTACTACGGATCTGGGATAATTCTCCAATTCGACTATAGTCGCAGCATGGCTATCTTAGTTTGAATTTTGCAATTCAGGTCTCTGAAGTGCCATTTTGCACAGGAAGTTCTTAATGAAAGGTTGTTAGTCATCCAAGTATTCTTCAATATAGAGTTACCAAGCCTTACAAGGTAAGGGATGAATCACATGTATAGGATTTGCGTGCATTGCCATCTCATTCTACCAAGCCATTCAAAAATAAATCATGACACCATAAAACTGTCCAAATATAGTACTGCTATATGAATTCACATGTCCAATAAATCTGTAAATTCAGACACAATAGAATAATAAACAGGTTTGACTCAAGAAATTAATATATAAATATTTGCATACATCTGGTCACTCTTAACTTATTGTCTCTCTAAAACTGAACATATTACATGTTGAATAGTCACAAGCAGGAGTCAGACTATTACCCATGTGGAAATCCCCACATGCAACTAACCAACACGTAAACATTCTTGTCCTCCCCCACCTCCACTACTAGTGACCTCACCTCCCTAAATCTGCATCACCCTTAGTGGCCTTTCGTCCCCCCAACCAACACTACCCATGACCATACTCCCACCTGGACAAATGACTTCACTTCCCCATAACACCACAACCACCACCACTGACCTTATTGCCCCCCACCACCATTGATCTAACTTCCCTTAACTACTGAAGCCTCTCATGCGGTTGTGCAAAGCTGGGAACTTTTAAGGTGAGTATATTTTTAGGGGGGTTTTTTTGCAAGTTTTTTTTAAAATGAATGCATAAAAAACTGTTGAATAAGCATATCATCAAATAAAACATTTATGTAATCCTTTTTGCAAATTTTCTTTAGAGCCACAAAAAATCTTAGCTTACAATAGCTGCAGATACAATAGTTCATATCTGCAGCTACTGCAAGCCCACCCAGGAAGAATTTAGTTTATGCTGGAGGATGCCCAATCAGAAAGTTCTCATTTAGACTCCATTTGTGTGCCTGTCAATCACAGACTTCTCATTTAGCTGTAATACAGTGAATTGAGACATCTTTCAAAAGAGGAATACTTATTTTTTTATTTTAGTTTCAAGAAGCTAAACATGGAAGAATAAACACCTCCAAGCTGTTTTGATTGAGAGCCAGGGAGGTGTATAAGCTTTTATAAAAGTGCAGATTTTATTGAAATCAGTGTTTTTGTAATAGGAAACAGAAAGTAAGCTGAAGTGTTTCCTTTTATAAAAATGCTGATTTCATTATATGTAGAACTCATTAAAATAGTTCCTTTAACCCCTTAAGGACACATGACATGTGTGACATGTCATGATTCCCTTTTATTCCAGAAGTTTGGTCCTTAAGGGGTTAATTACAAAAAAATGGGTCAACATTTCATTATATCCCTTTAAAATATACATACTTCACCCACTCAAGCCCCATAATTCTTCAATTGCTGCTGCTGTACACGTAAACCAACATCTGACAAATATGTTTGTTATAAATGTACTCTGGACATATGGCATAATCTTATTTTGTCATTTCTGAGTAGGCTAAGGTGTGCTTGCGTAGAGGTGACTAAAATAAGGGAACTATATTACATTTTATTGTGGGGGTAGTTTGCTTGAAATCCAATTGTTTTGTAAAATGCGCTCTAATCTGATTTTTTTTTTTTTGCTTTTATTTTTATAAAAATATTCTTCGGGGCGGAGGATGTTATTAATTTAAGATTCACGTGACCTGTAAACCTTGTACATTTGAAATGCTGAGGTAAGAACAGTCATACAGACTTTGATAAATTATATATTTACGGGTGTTTTTTCTTAGGTACACACTAGTTGAAAATGTGCACATATTTGTCATCAATGTATGCAGAGCATATGGTATAATAAATACAAATATTCTATTTAATTACTGCAAACATCATGATCACTGCAGTGTTTTGAAGTGGTTATTGTGTTTTAATTTTTTACCTGCACAGGTTAAATTCCTGCTGGCAACAGGGATGACCAGGTATCACTCAATACCTGGAAGTACCCTTTAGTCAGCTGGGACCATATTTAAAGACCTAGAGACTAACCAGTGAGCGGGCACAGTCTGTTAAATCACTGTAGCTAAATGTGATTTTTTTTTTTCAGAAATCAAGGTGATACTAAGATTCCCCCCAGTGACAGGGAGATTCACTGGGTCTGAATAGACCCCGACCAGGTCTCCCTGCATGCCTCAGTGTGGACAGTAATCATCAGTGAACTGTTCATGGTGACCAGCACCAATCACTAGAAATGGCACCACGTAAGGAAACAGTTTAAACACTGCCTTTTCTCAGAAAAGGCAACGTTTACACTGCCGAGCGTGCAGGAACAGGCTCCAAGTCCCATAACCACTACTGTTAACTGTAATGTCCCTTTCAGTATACCGTATATGCAAGCTATGCTATAATAACAATTTGCAAATCACACCAGTTGGCTGTTTCTTTTAATCTCAGGGTCAGTACAAATCTTATAAGAGCACCCCAAATCATACCAGCATCTGTCTGATGGGATAGGTAGTAAGGAATTGGTTATATTTGTGAGTATAATACAAGTTTGCTTTAAAAAGAAGAAGAAAAAAAATCCCTTGGTCACAGATTCCACAGACAACTCTTCCACAAAATGATTTTCGGTCTTAGAATACAAACAGGCTGAAGAGAGAAGCTATAAAAAGGATGATTTACTACTTTTGAAAATCCAGCCTTCCGCCTACACCCAGAGTCCCAGATTTTCTCTGGGAATCTCCCACGCAGGGCATGCATAACCCACCCTCTCCCTCAGGCCATGCACAAAAGGATTTTTAGCCATCTGCTTCCCTCAGAATAATATCATTTATTCCGAAATAATGCTGACGGTGTGTGCTATAGAATTTATAAATGTACAATCACAGCTTTGTCCCCAGGAGCTTACAATCTCTCTTGGCCAACTTCAGAATAATTATTTCAAGATTGATTTAGCCAAAATTACTGATACAGACCCAGCACAATTCTCTTTTTTCAGCACCATATGAAAAAAAACTGAATTTTGCAATAACATATAGAAAGCATGACTTGAAAGATTTCCATACTAACAAGCAACTAACATGCTAGCAAAATGTCAATGCGCATGCTTTGCATGGGTATGTTAACCAAAAAAAAAAAAACACATGCAGTGTTCATGAACTCTGAAAACAAGCCCATGATAATAACCCTTTCCCACCTAAGTTTCTAAAAACAACACAGAACTGTCACTACACACAATTTTGCACAAGCCAATATCCAAATAATTCATTATGGGTTACGTTTTATTTAACAAAAATTCTCAGTAGTTTTTATTTCTTTATTTTCACGGTGTGCTGGTCTTGGATTGTAAATGTTGTTAGAGGGACTCTCCAGTGCCAGCACTGCAGGTCCCCTCTTCCTCCCACCCCCAATCCCAAATTGCTAAAGGGGTTAAAACCCCTTCAGTGACTTACCTGTATCCAGCGCCCATGTCCCTCGAAGCTGGGTAAGGGTTCGCCAACGCTCCTCTACCGCCAACGTCATCCGGCGGGGGAGACCTATTGAAAACTTTATTAAAACTGCAATAATTACACTTGCAGGGTTAAGGGTAGTGGGAGTTGGCACCCAGACCACTCCAATGGGCAGAAGTCCCTTTAACTTCTGTAGTGTGGCATTACTTAAAGGACCACTATAGTGCCAGGAAAACATATTCGTTTTCCTGGCACTATAGTGCCCTGAGGGTGCCCCCACCCTCAGGGTCCCCCTCCCGCCCGGCTCTGGGCAGGGAGCTCTCTGCTTCCTCTCCTCCTCTTCTCCTCCTCCTGGACTGAATGCGCACGCGCGGCAAGAGCTGCGCGCGCATTCAGCCCGTCGCATAGGAAAGCATTTACAATGCTTTCCTATGGACGCTTGCGTGCTCTCACTGTGAAAATCACAGTGAGAAGCACGCAAGCGCCTCTAGTGGCTGTCAATGAGACAGCCACTAGAGGATTAGGGGGAAGGCTTAACCCATTCATAAACATAGCAGTTTCTCTGAAACTGCTATGTTTATGAAAAAATGGGTTAACCCTAGCTGGACCTGGCACCCAGACCACTTCATTAAGCTGAAGTGGTCTGGGTGCCTAGAGTGGTCCTTTAAGGAATACCAAAGTTGTCTTTTGTTTGTTTGATATTTCTGAGCACCTCAAAAGCATTACGGGATGACAATGTCACTCAGAATGTGTAAGTGCCATGGAGGTAGGTATGTAGGTTTTTACGTACCTCCACATCACTATCTACCCCAGTAATTGCTTCATTGAAAAGAAACTGTTCTGCATTAGGTAAGTAAATAAAGAGCGTTTTTGAACTACATTTTCATTTCCGCATGAAATACATATGATATTACTATTATTAGCCTTTGAATATATTTCGCAATGCTTTACAATTATAGAAAGGGGAAGAGGTGAAGGAGTCCCTGCTCAAACCAGCTTACAATCTATGACGATTTGAGGTAGACAGATATAGATCGTTAGGTGTGTTGTGACGTTACCACTGCTCTAACCAGCCGATACACTATATACCACAGTCCTTGAAAATGTGTTCTTAAAACATATTATATTGATACTGTAGGTACAGACCTTTTTCTTTGATTCTAGGGGACTAGAAGAGATACAGCAAACTGTAATCTTGTAATGGAGCAAATCTCTTTAATTCAGTATTAAAGGAACACAAACATGTATTCCTGACCCTATAGTGTTAAAAACACTATCTAGTGTCCCTTTAATATAACTTTTTATAGTTGTGTGCTCAAAATCAATGCTTTGGAGTTATATTACAGTAAACGTCACATTTATTTGGACGTTAAATGTCGACGTGCAGGCAGAATAATAAAAATTTGTTTAAAAAAATCATTGGAGTTTATTTACACTTTTTCTGTTTGAAGAGGGAGTGATGGGAGGAAATTTAAAGGTTTGTGATGATATTGCCCATCCTAAGATAGAAAATGCTTCAGATATCATCACTGGCCATGTTCATACCTCAGGAGAATCCCACTTTGTCAATAAAGGTGTTTAACTTAAAAAAAATTATCTTATATTGTCCTGAATAACTGACTCTGTTATAAAATTAGCTACCAGTAAGTTATAAGGTCACCTAAACAGTCCCACCCACCCTAAACACACCTCTAGTTGGATTATACAATGGCACCCTCAATGGCCATTTTATTTCAATTTACAGTCCAATAGCTCATTGTAAGAAAATGTTCCAAAGTCTTGTTGGGATGGGGGTGGAGGGAGGTGTGACACGTGTGTCTGTGTGTGAGGCTTTAGTGTGTGGGGTAACTGTGTGTGTGTGGGTGTGTGTCTGGAGGAGGGGTGATGTGACAGGGTGATTGAGTGTGGGAGGAGGTGATATGACAGCGACGGAGCATGTTTGGGGGATGGGGTTATGTGACAGGGTGAGTGAGTGTGTATGGGGGAGAGGGTTTTGTGACATGATGACTGGATATGTATGGGAGGGAAGGGTGATGTAACAGGGTGAATAAATGTGTGGGGAGGTGGTGATGTGACAAGGTGACTGTGTGTCAGAGTGGGGGTGATGTGACAGCTTCCCCCCATGGGAGAAGTAGATTGTCTGTGGGGAGGTTGTTGTAGTTCCGTGCACAGCCTCCCCACACAGTGCTTGTTTTTTTATACTTATTTTTAGCTAAGGCCCACTGCAGCTTACCTTTTTACTGTGATGCTATTCCCTGGTGGTCTGGTGTATCTGGTTTCCCTGGTGGTCTGCTAGCTGAAACTGCCCTCTGGCTGAGAGCAGACCCCTTGGGATGCCCCCTTGCGCGCTCTGACCAGAAGGAAGCATTTTCTGATCGCTGCGCTCCTCGCAAGGGCAGTCTGCACAGTGAGATCTCTAGATCTCCCTACTGGCCCGTGCTTCGCGGGGAAACTTTGGGGAAGCTTAGCAGAGTCAGTGATTGAAAGCTAGCGCCGGGTCTGCTATTAGCACAATAATTGCAAACAAAATTTGGCTGCAATGAACACATTTCATGAGCAATGATTTTAATCGTATACACATGATTGTGGGGTATGGATGCAGACCTTGGTAACAGTGTACATGAGTGCTGACATGAAGGAGTTAAAGCGGAGGTAGACAACATTCAGCACATTCAGGTTCTGTACTACACCTCCCATGTTCTTACAGCCAGAATGCTGGCAAATGTTCAGGGGAGATGTAGTCCACAACATCAGAAGATTTAAAAGCTGTCTAAACCTGATTTAAGGAATAACTAAGCACCATAACCACTTCTGGCCACAATGCATACGGTCTTCTTCTGTAGGAGTAGCTGGATTGCTCTACAGAATAACCGATGCAGGACTTTGTTTATTGGCTGAGAGGGCTCAGCTGACACTGTCAGACAGTGCCTATAGCCCTGATCAGCTCTAAGCAGTGACATCCGCCTTCTCTACCTGGAAAGGGCTGGAAGCAGCACGAATGCCCAGCAGGGCACAGGTAACTACAGCAGGCTGTATTAGATATGGTGCATGTAGTGTTCCTTTAAATGTTTTTTAAAGGGACACTATAGTCACCGGAACAACTACAGCTTATTGAATTTGTTCTGGTGAGTAGAATCATTACCTTCAGGCATTTTGCTGTAAACACTGTCTTTTCAGAGAAAATGCAGTGTTTACATTACAGCCTAGTGATAACTTCACTGGCTACTCCACAGATGCTAAAATGCATCCAAACATTCAGTGTCTTCACCCTCTGCATGCAGACACGACACTGAACTTTCCTCATACAGATTCATTGATTCAATTCATCTCTATGTGGAGATGCTCATTGGCCAGGGCTGTGTTTGACTTGTGCTGGCTCTGCCCCTGATCTTCCTCTTTGTCAGTCTCAGCCACTTTTATGGTGAATTGGATCAGGCCACCACTTCTGATGATGTCAGAGGAAGTTCACAGCCTGAAGTTCAAGTCTGAAGCACCAGCTTCAGACTTGAATACAAGTAACATTTTACTATTGTTAGGGAGGCAAAGGGGGCCAAATAGTGGTTTTAACCCTATAGGGTCAGGAATACATGTTTGTGTTCCTGACCCTATAGTGCTCCTTTAACAGTAGTTTATCATTATGTTAACCAATGGGAGCAACAATGTGTTTTGTTTGTTGCTTTGTTTTTTGATATTCTGGACAAGAACATATTAACTGGCTTATTAAAGGGACTCTCCAGTGCCAGGAAAACATAGCCGGTTTCCTGGTACTGCAGTGCCCCTCTTTCTCCCACCCCCCATTCCATGTTGCTGAAATGGTTAAAACCCCTTCGGTGACTTACCTGAGTCCATCGCCGATGTCCCTCGGCGCTGAGTCAGGCTCCGCCTACTCTCCTCCCCCGCCGACGTCAGCCGGTGGGGGAGACCTAACGCGCACTAGACCTCCCCATAGGAAAGCATTAGTCAATGCTTTCCTAAGGGTATTTCGGTTGACGCTGGAGCTCCTCACATAGCGGGAGGACATCCAGCGTTGTTTAAAACACCTTTCATGTTCTAAGAACACAGAAGTCCCTCTAGAGGAGGACTTAACCCTGCAAGGTAATTATTGCAGTTTATAAAAACTGCAATAATTACACTTGTAGGGTTAAGGGTGGTGGGAGTTGGCACCCAGACCAGTCCAATGAGCAGAAGTGGTCTGGGTGCCTGGAGTGTCCCTTTAATGTTTTGTTACATATTCTTCATCACAATCCAGCTAAATCTGTCATTTTTATTATTTCTTTTTTTTCCAAAATAGAACCAACGGTAAATTTAGCTACGGTAAACGGAACCTGTAGCCCCTTACCTAGGCGTCCACTCCCCTGCCGAGATCACATTAAGGAGGTCCACCCCCACTCCTCCTCTGCTGCTCTCCAGTCCACCCGCACTCCCCCTCCAACGATCACTTATTTGTCCTGCTTGAGGACACCTCCCCATGCAGGGCAAACCTCCTCAGTGGCTTCCTTGCCAGCGTCTGAACTGGCTTCTTAGCCAGCATCTAAACCAAGTGATATCACCCCTGATGGCTAGGTTTCCATAACTACCACAGCGCATGAGAACAGATGGACTTCCTGTGGGAGGTCTTTTCTTCTCTCCCTGTCAATCAATTTCTCGGCAGTGCACTGTAATTCCCCTACTTGTAGTCCAAAGTGTTTTAACAGTACCTTGAATCCATTCTGAATCCTAAACTGACAGGATAAATTACTTATTATGTCAATGTACACATTTGATAGCAAATCTGCTAGCACAATGTATAGAATTGCATGCTCTTTTAAAAGCTAAAGATGTTTTGGGCACTACAGGTGCCTTTAAAGACAAGGTTATTTCTTATAGTCGTTTTTGAAGGCACAAGTAGACACTTTAATTAGTTTCCAGTGGCTCTTGGGCGATAAGATAATGCTTTAAGTTGACAAAAGTACACAGCTGTTCAACTGTAGCAAAATGAGGAATTTAAAGGCAGGGTGAAATTGAGAGAATATATTTGTTTTAATAAAGCAAAAACTATATTGTGGAAAAAACTAATCACTAAAACAAAACCATTTAAAAAGTATTAAACATGCACAAACTTTTGTGATGTCACATCACATGGAAGTGACATCATATGCATGAATAATGTTACCCCATACGTTTTTGCAGCAGAGCACGGATCGCCTGAAACATTTTCAACCACTCTCTTTTTGTTGCTGATTAAGTAGCAGTGAGGAAGAAAGCCTGGAAACCATGCTTCATAAGCAAATATTTTCTCTGTACTTGCTTCCTCTGTGAATGTCCATAGATTGATTATGCAAAAGATTTAAGAAAAAAACACGAGGTAAAAAAAAAATGTAATCTTCACTATAAATATATGGCACATATAAAAGAAAAAACATAATAAAAAATAAAGTTTTCCTTTAAATGGTTGGATTAAGGCTCCCGGCACAAACAGTTAAGACTTATCTATGACATAAATTGTGGGTATAAAGAGAGGGTGAGAAGTCATATTCTGTATGTGGATTTTCCCTTACTAGTTACTCCCACACATTACCTAATACACATAATATATTTTTCTGGTACCAGGTGTTACTAGAACACACTGTAATTACCAAGAGCTTTGTTACAAAATCAAACATTGCAGATGGATGTATTTTAACAAACTGTATTGTCTCAGAAATAGGGGCACCTTCTGCTGACAGCAATTTTATTGTACCGAAGCGGTCATATTGAACGCATTCATTATTTCTCTGTAGCTTCACAATAATAGTCCTATTGCATGAAAATGTGCATGTTTCATACCGATAGACTGGTGCAACATATTCTACCTTATAGGAAAACCATTATAAAATAAACTCATCCTTTTATAGAACTGTAGCTTTAAATTACTGCAAACAGCAGATACTTTGAGCCCACTCTCATTCCCCCTTAGATCAAACCCTATAGACCAGAATAAGAAGCTTCAATCTGTTAGGAGCCTCTCATACTGGTCTGGGAGCATTGGATATATGTTAAGTTTTTTAAAAGACTTATTTTAAATCAGTGCTTCTCGACTTTTCAAGGGGAAGTAACCCTGCAGGTGTAAAACCCCTGTCACGAGAAAGTAATTTCTATTGATTTCAGTTCCAAATGAAACATGTAGACACTGATATTTATGTTAACCTGGAAAACAAACCTGATAAAAGGAAGAAAAAAATATTTTACAAAATAAATATATGACACAATGTGAATATTGTGTATGTAAGGAGGAGTGTATGAACTATTAATCTGAAGTATAAAAGTTACAAAATGAAAATAAAAGACACAAATAATAGTTCCACACAGATTACACTGTCACACACATGTATACACAGAGGACACACTCACTGACAGACACACACAGAGAACAATTACACATTTACACACACATCGCCTGACAGATACACACACACACATGCACACACTCACTCAACACACACTGACAGACACAGTCACTGACATTCTCACTGATTTGACACGAACTGACGAACACACATTCTCTCTCTCTCTCTCTCTCTCTCTCTCTCTCTCTCACACACACACACACAAATTACCATTTATCATTTGTATTTAAGTCCATGCAACCTCCCTACCTTTAAGAGAGGGAAGATGTTTCTCTGGTCAATAATTACAGGTATTGTGCAAATATTTACACCACACTAATAAGAAAGGATTTATAAATATTAACTGATTTGCAATGTAAACACCACAGACTTTGGTGTTTGTATACTCTGAACAACTTTTATGAAGAATTGGTACTTACAAATGGTAGAGGTGGGAAAACAACAATAGACTTCAAGGAATTGTACTAATTTGGCTATTATGGCTTAAAAGGGTTATTCAAAAAAAAACAGTATTTGACGGAAACCCTGTGTTTGATCAGAGGAAAGAAACAAAGGAACAAGGAAAGAAGAGAGAAACAAAACTTTCCTCAATTCCAGCACTGAGGCCAAGTTCTCCCTGCAGCCCACTATTGCCAAATTTGCACAGAGTTTACATTAGCCACCAGGAATTCTTGTTCTGAACTGATTTATGATGCCCCAATGACGCTGCCATAGGTGGAGTTACATTTTATGCAGCAGATGGGTTAATCACCGTTTGTTCACCATTTCATAGGAACACTCTGCACATACAGAATCCAGGCACCATGACCAATTCAAATCACTTTAAGATATGCTAATTTTCAGCAACAGTTCACTAGATTTTGTTTAGTGAATACGTCCCAGAGTGCACATTTTTTTTAGCAAATTTAAATTGCAAGGAACAATGTAAGTACTGATAAAGATATATTGCTATCTGACGTTTCCAGTATATATAAATCACTTTACTGCTGGGATAGCAATATATATATATATATATTTATATATATTAACTGTTAACATGCCCGTGCACTGTGTGTGAATAGACAGTACACCACTCATGATCCCATAATGCAATGTCAAGGGAATACTATAAGGAATGGTGATTAAAGAAAAGTGTGTGCACAAATGTTCAGGCAAATCACTAGACAAGATAAAATTTCAGGAAAGAATATAATACAATGTTTGCACTTGTTATCTGGTAAATACTGTACACTGTATTTGAAGCACAAAAGACCATAACCATTTTGCAAAATAAGAAGCAGCTACATTCTCATTCCCTACTACTCTGTGATGTCACAGGGAGAGTATGCCCATACAGAATTCTGTATGTTCGCCTTTGAACAGGCTATCTCACTGCTTTCTTTGATAAAGACTGTAAAGCAGCCATGAGCATAAAGAGCCACAGGGTTTATTCATAGCTAAAACAAGGCACAAGAATGGAGATTCTCACATAGCTTACTAAGGTTTTTCATAAATAAAGTTACTTGTAACAACTGAACTACTTTTGCCATTTACTGCTGCTGTACAGGTCTAAAGGGATTCTATAGTGTTTAGAATACATCAGACAGGAGGACCTAATGCGCATGCGCAGTGAGCGCTGTGAGTACATCAGTCTCTCCCCATAGGAAAGCACTGCTTGTTTATGGTGATTTAGCTGACACTGGATGTCCTCATGCAGAGCGTAAGCACATCCAGCGTCAGGTGACAAAAAGGCCTATAAAATCCCAGAAGCACCTGTAGTAGACAGCCACTAGACACTGTCTTAGTGCTGCAATGTAAACATTGCAGTTTCAGAGCACAACAAAATAAATATGGTAACTGTTATTATACTGCTTAAAACCAATGTAAGTATAAGTAATTTATCCTGTCAGTTCAAGGTACTGTTAAAACACCTGGGACTAGAAGTAGGGGAATTACAGTACATGGGCCAAATTCACAAAAGTTTTGTGAAGCGTGTATAGGCAAGGTGGAGTGGCAGTAAAAAAAACGGTGTGGAGTGGTAGCTGACCGATTGTATTAAGGGGTGTGTATACGGAGCAGGAAGGTGTTATGAAAGTTGGAGTCAGGACTTCGGTAGTAATGTCAAGATAGAATGGGTGGTATATTTGTGGCCAGTGTTAGTGGGCTGGGGAGTGTTTATGGATGACGTAGTCTCACTATGGCTTCAGCATTTGGAAAAGGAGTAAGATTGGTTGGAAGTTACAAGTTATGTCAGTCAGCCAGTTCAGAGGAGTAAAACTCTGAAGTAAATGAAAAGATACTCAATGAGAAAAGTTGAGATCAGTGGTTTCAAGTTTGTAAGGACATGAATAAAATATTTATAACCTATATTATAGCTTTTGCTAGATTGCCAAACAGTATTTTAGAAATCAGAGCATGTATTCTATTTATTAAAGGAGAAACGCTTAGTAGGTGACACACATTAAAGACATAAATAATCAATATAATCATGCATTAAATGGGTGGTCATATCATTATGTTGTTCCTTTAATTCGCTACCTGAAGCAGATCGTATCTATAGAGTGGTTGGAAAGAAATCCACTTTATATATGGTAGTGTGTCATGCAGTCGAGTGTTACAGAAAAATACAATTAAAGAGGGGGAAAAAAGGTTTTCCTTTTTAAAAAGTACTTGGATTCACCGTATGCAGTGACTCATTTTCCATCAATAAGAAGCATCAGACTCCATTTCAATCACAAAAGCACCACACTATTGTCTGTGGCAACCCTGCTGATACTGTTCTTAGGGTTATTGATTAACTGAGACTATAATTACAGTGATGGCACATTCCTTTCCTCGGAGGGACTTCCAGCTGTAAATGTGCAAATGATATAGAAATGGCAAAAAGAATACTGAAAACAGAATATAATGTCCAATACTGGTTTACAGATCAGCTATGTACTAGAGTGTTACCATTGCCTAAGACTGGATTTAAGTAACATTAGGGAAAATATTAGCCATAATCTACATAACCTTGGAGAAACGCTAAGTGGGCTATTCGCTAAACTATGAAATTCACTAATGATTTGTAGAACAAAAGAGTAAGACTGAAAAAATGTATCTAGCTCAATTGTATATCCTGCTTGATAAATTTGGCCTTAAAGGGACACTATAACCACCAAAACAATTACGGCATAATGTAGTTGTTCTGGTGAGTATAGTCAGTTCTTGCAGGCTTTTTGCAGTAAACATGGTCAGAGAAAAGGCAGTGTTTCCATTACAGCCTAGAGACACCTCCAGTGGCCACTCCTTAGATGGCTACTAGAGGTGCTTCCTGGGGCAGTGTGGCAGACAGCCAGTGTTTCCACCCACTGCATAGAGACACTGAACTTGATTAAATGCATCTCTATGAAGAGAAGCTGTTTGGCCAGCGAGGTGTTTGGCTCCGTGCCTGCTTCGCCTCCTTGGCTGAAATCATCAGAATTGACAATCTCAGCCATTCCAGAGCTTTCCTAAGGGAAAGCATTGCGATTGGCTAAGAGCATCACTTCTGATGATGTCATCCAAGGAGACAGATCAGGGGCAGAGCCAGCACCAGCAGACTGGAATAAAGGTAAGATGTTACTGTATAGGGGAACAAGGGTGGGTCAGGGGGGGCTGGATAGTGTTTTTAACACTATAGGGTCAGGAATACATGTTTGTGTTTGTTACCCTATAGTGTTCCATTTAACTTGCAATTAGCTACTAAATTAAGGACAATTCACAGTTTAGTTAATAATCCCAAATAAGTGTACAAGAACTATGGAAAAGTCCAAGTGTTTCAATAATAAGCATTAGAATACTGTACAGTTGTCTCTGGTATTCCTGATCAGACAAATTACCAGTAAATAGAAATCTGTAGCTACTATAATGTAACCGATGCTACTGATCTACTAAACAGTGACTGCTTACTGATATGCTTGGGAACGTGCAACAGGACACACTTCTGGCTGTAGAAAACTTCAGTGAAAGCCACAGGGTTTACTCAGTATATTGAAAATTGTGGAAAACTGTAATGGGAATGACACATTTAGGTAATTTGTAGACCACAAAAGTTGGACTGGAAGAATTATTCATTTAACTATGATGTTTTTCAGGTTGACTACTGAGATCTAATTTTTGCAGTTCCCCTTTTAATATTCTGGAGTCCACTGAATAACCCCATGATCAATTCTTTCCACCACGTTCATATGAAAAATCACATGAAGAGGAGTGAGGTTATTCACTAAAACATGAACTGTGCAAAACCCAACGTACAAACATAAAAATAGGTTTGTTAGAGAATTTTTCCATATTGGCCTAAAACTCACAGGGTTATTCGCTGAAGTGAAAATTCAAAGTCAATTCAGAGTGAAATTCAAATTTTAGGCCAAAGTAGAATAAAGTAGAAGCAGGTTTCCAGTTCTGCTATTTTTCCATGAATTAGAAATGATCTTTGAATTTTCCCTTTAGTGTATAACTCTGCCACTATTCTCTATTTTCAGTTCTATATAATTCAGTGGATAATTCCTGCACATACAGAGCATGCTTGTTATTGTGAAATGTTATCATAATTCAACTTTCATACTATTCCAATCAGTGATAGGAACTTCGAAGTACAACTTTTCAAAACAACCACATTGACAACTTATCAGTAATTTTCTGTTAATATTTTAATTTTGAAAGTGTTTCACCGGGAGAATAGCTATTTTGATTCCCCTATATATTAAAGCATTTCAAATTTTTAAACAGCACTAATTCCACATTCTGTGCTATCTGATGTACCGAATGGCAAACTCACCAGTGTTGCTAGTTTATTAGTAGTACTTGATTCTCCCCTCTCATAATATTGTAATGCGCTACGGAATCTGTTGGCGCTATATAAATGGCAATAATAATAATAATAACTGAAAGGATGTTATTAGGGGTACAAGCATGAAAATATATAATTTTTCATACTCGATTTGAAAAAAGACTAGTAAACACTGAAATGAAGACATCACAGTTCTACTTTATGAGAAAACATAAGGGCGATTAAAATGGTAGAATGTAACAAGAAACCCATGATCAATTAATACATTATAATATAAGATTCAACTTTGAAAGCAATTATGAAGTACACGTCACAGCTCTGTACAGTAATCACTTTTTATATATTCCACATGCTGATAGTTATTGAAAACAAGCCATTACAATTAGAAACCTAATGTCTAAAACATACAGCATTGCTTATGCTAAACGAATAATACAAACATGCCATGTCTCAGCTGTAAATACACTTCCGTATGCAGACTTGCAGTTCCCTGTGAAAAACTGTGCAAAAGCTCATTTCAACTTGTCTAATGTTACAACCTAATGACAGATTCACTTCATAAGTATCAAATTACAAAGCTACTGATTATAATCCACATTACTGTAATACGAACATTGTACAGCGCTGCTGAAACGTTGCATAATAATATATTATACTGTTAACAAAAATACTTGCCCACATCAATACTTATATACACAATATGAACCAATATTTTTTTTTTCATTCAAAACGATTTATTTACAGAAAGGGTAGATACACAAATAAAAGTTTAAAAAAAAATAATTTATTATGCTCGTAGTGTTTTCAAATGAGGTTTTACTAGCATTATGTAGAAATAGAAAGCCAAAGTCTGATTATAAAAGACCCCTTTAATATATATCCTTTAAATTCTGCTAGTATTTCAGATCACGCAATGTACAATCTACATGACTATTAATGCATGTCAGCCTTGCATTGATTTTAAAATTGATAGATTTATAAATGTCACAGTCACTGGATTATGGCATGTCATCCCTTTACGTCATCACTAGAATTAAAGTTGGGAAAATCAGGTTTTATACTATTTTATTATTTGTTACTAAATACGCTCGGTAGTTTAATTACCTTGTTCTTGCATCAGTACTATAGATCGTAGAAGAAATAAAATGACCAATATAGGATCTTACTTAAAACAGAAATAGATACACAAAACCAGAACAGATCACTATAAATATTATTTAATCCCCTGACAACGAGTCCTACTTCTTATGTATTTGTATTTAATTCAATATACACACACCTATCAACTTATAAAACTCTATAACTTAGTACTAGTAGTACTAGCTAGCAGGCTGAGTGTGAGCACTGATTATCAGACCTGTGCTCAAGTTCTACATCTTATTGTCCATGCATTCAATATAACAGCCCATCTCCAGCTGTGATAACAATAACTGCTGTGCAGACTCAAGTGTTGCCATTGATAGAAGTATATAGATCCACACACTTACTTTTATGATGCTCAGCCCTGAACTTGCAGGTTTACTGCCAGAATCCCTATTCACAGAACTTCTGCCCCATCCAAGTGATACCTGCTACCCCTTCCCTTCCTAGCTCAGCTCAGGCTGCTGATACTTTGTAACAGAGAGCAGTGTTCTAGAACTCCGGTAAAAGCCAGGCGTGGGGGTGTCTCTACTTGTCTTTACATGCAAGTCGCGGGAGGCTGAGCGATCACCCCACATCCACCCCCCCTCCGCTTGAGGCTGGGTTGGGATATTCCGCTCTTGCTACACAGCTAGGCTCTCTCTCTCTTTCTCGCTCTCTGTCTCCCTCCCACACAGGACCCGTGACGCAGTTCCTGGCGTGGGAGGCGGCCAGGGCGTGGGTGGCTGCTTGCTTGCCTGCTTGCTGCATGCAATAGCAAACATCAAATCACACTCCAGCAGGGCTAAAGGAACAAACTCCCTGGGAGGAGGGAAGGGGATGGGAAATTAAATAATAAAATAAAAAGGAAAAAAAAATAGAGTTTAACCCATAACCTTTTTCTCCAATCCCCCTTTCCCTCCTCCCATAGCAGCACCCATTCTAGTCTGGAATTCATCACGGGGAGTTGGATCTCCCACTTGTATAGTCACAGTCACTTGTCTGTAGGTGGTGGGTGGGAATTGGAAAGTAGAGAAGGTGTGGTGGGTGAGACAGTGGAGATGATGTGCACAAAGCTTCTGTAGAAATCACACTTCACTATGAAGGTTTTAATAGCTGACAACAGGGTTTATACTTGGGAAGCATGTTTTTAACGTTAATTGACTTCATCATAAAGCATCATAAATATATAGTACAATGACACAAGATAACTATTAGATTTGCTGGCATTGATTCTTTTTTTGAGTGTTTTTCACCTCTGTCCATACACATGCAAATGAAGTTTCAGAGTAATTGCTTCTATGTACATTTATTTATAGACGGATACACGATAGAAAAGAGTCAGTATACATATATATGAAATATAAGGATAGTGACTAGTTTTGGGAACATCATAATATATAGGAAAATGTAGTCATTTACTGGGTCCAGAAAACCTAGAATAGGCACTGTTTTCACAATTCCCATATTAAATATTTTAGTGTTATATAATTATAATTTAAAATAAATAAATATAGAATTTTTGCCCCATAACAGCTGCAATGCAAAACATTCAATTTTGTTCCAGCTGCTGGGGAACGCACTATACGCACACAGAAACAGGCAATTTGCCCACACATTTGTATTTCTCTTATGGAAAGTCTGGTACACACACAAATCATAGCCTGCCTGAGATTGATGGGAATTACATTCCCACCCACCTTGATTGGTTGTATCCTTCTTCCTTTACGGATATGTTGGCAGAGGTGCTAGGGAGAGAGGGTCTCTTGGGGGTATTTACTATAGTGTGAATTTCAAAGTTTTCCAGTTCAGCCATTCTGCTTTTTTACCTCGAATTTTAAATCCTCTTTGAATTCTCACTCTAGTGAAAAGCCCTTCCCAGTATCTCCTCAGCTCTCCCTAAAAGCACTCCTAGAATATCATAGATGTTCCATTACTGCCTGAGATTAGAGGGAGCTGTCATAATTATAATTAATTATAAGGATAACTTCCACTAATTACAGGAATACCACACAGAAGTGATCTATACATTATTTCACTTCATTGCTGAGTATAATTCCTTGATGATGTCATGATCCATTAAAGGGTTCTAAAACATGATCTGTGGTGGGTGATGTCAGCAATTCTAGAACCAGGAAGGAGTGCAAAAAAAAGATCATCTTAAAGTACATTAGGACTGTGACAGGACTGCATTGTAGTAATGAACTCTCTACAGCAGGGGTTCCCAATTCATTTTTCCAATGGAACCATTTGACATAGTGTATCAACATCGTTGAACCTCCCCTCACCACCCAAAAAACAGATTGCAGTACTTGGGAGCCGGTGTTTTTGTGTTTAGAGCTGGTGTTTAGAATTTTATCGTTTTAATACAGGGATGTGTTTGTATGGAATGTTGGCATTTGCGTGCAGAGGTGTATTTGGATGTAGTGTTGGATTTTCAATATGGATATACACTGAACAAAATGATAAACGCAACACTTTTGTTTTTGCCTCCATTTTGCATGAGCTGAACTCAAAGATCGAAGACTTGTACACAAAAGGCCTATTTCTCACAAATATTGTTCACAAATTGGTCTAAATCTGTGTTAGTGAGCACGTCTCCTTTGCCGAGATAATTCATCCACCTCACAGGTGTGGCATAACAAGATGCTGATTAGACATCATGATTATTGCAAAGGTGTGCCTTACGCTGGTTATAATAAAAGGCCACTCTAAAATGTGCAGTTTTATCACACAGCACAATGCCACAGATGTCGCAAGTTTTGAGGGAGCGTGCAATTGGCATGCTGGCTGTAGGAATGTCCACCAGAGATGTTGCCCATAAATTGAAAGTTAATTTCTCTACCATAAGCCATTTCCAAACAGTATTTGTGAGAAATAGGCCTTTTATGTACATAGAAAAAGTCTTAGATCTTTGAGTTCAGCTCATGAAAAATGGGGGCAATAAACAAAAGTGTTGCGTTTATAATTTTGTTCAGTGTACATTTGTGTGTTGTATTGGTGTTTGAGTGTTTGTGTATAATTTTGAAGTTAGAGTTCAAGGGTTTCTTTTTATGTCATGTTTGTGGATGTAGTGTTGGATTTTAAATATGGATGTACATTTGTGTGTAGTGTTAGTTTTTGTATATCATTTTGGAGTTAGAATTCAGGGGTGTCATGTTTGTTTTTGCAGGAGTGTGTGTTGTGTTGGTGTTTGATTGCTGGGATGTCTGTACATGTACTGCCACATATATACTTAAACATTAACAAACAGAAACACACCGACACATACACAGTCATATACACACACACACACAGACATAGATACACACACCTTGACACACATATACGCAAACTGGCACATACACACAGATTCACACACATTGGCAGATACACACACTGACATGTACACACACACATATGTTTACATTTGCTGTTCACCTACCTTTTTTTTGGTCTTTAGCGTTGCTGGCTTAGCCTGGTGTGCTTCTCAGTCCCTGCTGCTCCCTCTATCCCTCCTGCCGGTACACCTTGTCGCTTCCTCCCAGCATCCCATACAACAGGGGTCCGGTCGCGGTTTCAAATGGCGCTTGACGAGTCCCCTGTTTAGCAATACCCATCGGGTGGCCCTAAATGCTTGGGCCACCCAACTGGCAAATCACAGCAGAACACCAATTGGGAAATGCTGCTCTACAGAAATTGTCTCCTGATTTTTACTACAATTTTTTATTGTGGATATTTTAATAAATCTGTTCAGTTCTTTGGTGACTCCTTCTGCCTGTCATTTGGGACCCGAGACAGTGCGGTTTGTGTGTTTGCATGTGTGTGTATGGTTTTGAAGTCTTATGAATGGAACCTGTTTATAAGAGTGTAAAAGTATATACACCATGTGGTATAGTGTACCACCATTTTTACTTACATTTATTTATATATTGTGTTTATTTTGATAAGCACTTTAACCCCTTAAGGACACACGACATGTGTGACATGTCATGATTCCCTTTTATTCCAGAAGTTTGGTCCTTAAGGGGTTAAAATTATTTTGATCAATTGCATGTTTGCCTTTTTCTAATTGTATTAAGCATTTTAAATAGCGCTTACTTTACCACCTATTTATCATGTATTTTTGGGACATTCCCCAGGTGATGGTGGGATTGGAGCCCAATTATGGGACAACTGCACCCAACCCAGGATAGTTGGTACATATGTAGATATGATCACTCTTGCGTGATAACTTAGTTGTACAATTTTAGTCAAAATTAGATAAGTTTTGTATCCATATTCGATTTCTAGTACACAAATTAGGAACTTGGTTTTCAAATCATTCAATGTTTATTTACTAATTTGGGACGTGTGAAGGCTTGAGCTACATAGTCTAAAATGATCTAGGGAAATTATTTATCCTGCTCACCAATTGTGACTTAAATATTTCAATTCCCTAGTCATTTTAACTACTCCTGGATGAATGAATAACCCAATAAGTGTTTGCTAAATAATATTTTTCAGTCCATCGGAAAGTTGTTGGAAATCCCCTGTCAGTATTTTACCAGTCAACTGACAGCAGCTACAAGTCTAATCTGAATGCCACATTGTCACTTCATGACTTCTTATTAGATGTTACAGAAGTTATAAAACCTACTGTCCCCCCCCGGCCCCCACCCCTGAGCGGTGGGTGGGGGCCCTAAAATTAACAATAAGGGGGGGACCTACTGTCCCCCCCGGCCCCCACCCCTGAGCGGTGGGTGGGGGCCCTAAAAATAACAATAAGGGGGGGACCTATTGTCCCCCCCCGGCCCCCACCCCTGAGCGGTGGGTGGGGGCCCTAAAAATAACAATAAGGGGGGGACCTACTGTCCCCCCGGCCCCCACCCCTGAGCGGTGGGTGGGGGCCCTAAAATTAACAATAAGAAAAGAAATAGAAGAAAGAAGTTATTTTTATCTAATTTTTTTTTTTTTTTTTACAGGTTTTTAGTTAAAGGTCCCCCCCTCATTATTTTTAGGGTGAGGGGGTTAGGTAGGGAGCTCATTTTTTTGGGGGAGGGGTGACTAGGATCCCCCCCCTTTGTATTTAGGGCCCCCACCCACCGCTCAGGGGTGGGGACCGGGGGGGGACAGTAGGTCCCCCCCTTATTGTTATTTTTAGGGCCCCCACCCACCGCTCAGGGTCTAATTTCGGTGCCTGCCATATATTCATATGTCAGGTTTATGGAAACCATGCAATATATATATTGCATTCATGAGATATGTCAGATCTCTGTTAACCCAGCTAGGCCGCAACCCTTCTACCTACTCGGGTCACTGTATAGGGGCAGCCTCCACAGCCTCCAGTGCCAACATACCAGTGCACATTATCAAATCACTGGGGCGATGGAAATCTTCTGCTTATACACTATACATACCCAAACCAGTACAAGAAATACGAAATGCATTTAAGGAAATGTCTGGTTAATTTGTATGTATTTGTTGACTGAATTAAATCTTTGATTATTCCTTTTTTGCCCTCTTTATTTACAGGCACACCACAACCGACTTGCTCTTTTATACTATTCTACGCTTATACTGGAACTTACTCCTTATACGGCTATGAGCCCCTAACACAAGTATTAAGGCCGTTTGGCCTGTAATTGTGGGAGGGGCTTATGATTATACACGTACCTATTTAAGGAACACCCCTTACCTGGCTCCATACCATTCGAGGTCAGCGTTTGCATGACCCTCCCACCACTCCACATTTTCAACACTTTCCTTTTCTTTTCCTCTTTTCCTATCCCTTGGTGGGCCATCTTTATTTACAG